GGGGTAGCCCATCATTCCTAGCCAGCCTGGGATGAAAACGCTAACACTTTGCTGCCTTTGTCAGCCTAGTCTTTGGAGAGGACTGCTCTACCTCTGTCCAGAGCAGATGTGAAAAAGCAGCTTCCTCATCAGGGTTTTTTATGTGGAAGTTGAGGGGTTTGGGTCGGTGTGCTGGTGTTAGACAGCTCAAGGAGATGTTGTGCCGGCAGCTTCTGGGAGCCACACGACCCCTGGGTGCCTGTCCTCCCCGTACCAACAGCAACTAGAAAGTGTTGTGGGTTTTCCTTAAATTAAAAAGGGCAACCTTGCGGTATGTTAGCAGCTTCTGAACAGCATCGTAACATCTGCTGGTTGGCCGAAGGAGCAGTGTGGTCAGCAGCAAACGAGACCAAAAACAGGTCAGCAACCTTCGCTTTTGTTTTGAGGTACTTCCTTCATTAGAGTAGCAAAAATGCGTGAGACTGTAAGACGTGTTTATCAGAAGAGTGTTGCTTCATCGGGCTGGAGATACAGAGAGTGCAACTCACGTGCAGTTGGGTAAGTGGATGGGAGAGAGGAAGAGGAGCCGGGCGGCAGCGCGGGCGCATGGAGGCCAAGGGCTCCCAGCCCCGAGCAGGTAACACAGGGGGGAGCGGGGGGCACAGTTCCAGCAGGGATTTCTTTGTCCGTTAAACCTCCTGATGACCTTTTAACCTGTTCCTCGGGCTGTTTTGCATTCCTCCTTGTGTATTGGAAGTTTTACCATTCTTACGTACTGTACTTCTATGTAGATTGGGGATGCACACAGTGCCAAAGTGTTGCCCAAATACCAAGAAAGAAGGAGTGGGTGAAATGGCTTGGGTTGGGTTGGGTTGGGTTGGGTTGACCCACATGTAAGTTCTTACTGTACAATCGGAGCACCTTCAAACTGAGGCTCTTCTGATTTCTTGTGGTAAAATTCATGTTAACCGGGAAGGTGAGCAGGCTGGGGAGGTCTGAGAGCTGGCTGTGCTGTTTGTGCCCACCCCAGAGATCCCCCAGTCCACCATAATCATAATTGTGGAGGAAAGTTGCCGCTTCCAGCCCCAATTTGAAGTGCCCATTAGTCTTTTACAGCATGTCAAGAGCCTGGCTTTACAGTAGGAGTGTCGTTGCCTCCAGGAACTGACATGAATCCATCCCTTTGTAGGGCTGTAAAACTGAGACAAGGACGATGAAGGGGAGGTAAGGAAGGCACGTGTGAAGGGCACCTCTGGCAGTGCAGCTGCTGGCAGTTCAGGCAGCTCGGTGTCTGCTGTCAGTGGATCCACCAGAGATCATTGCCTTCCTCGGTGGGTTTTACTTCAAGTCTCCGTGTCTCTGATTTCAGAACCAGCTTTATCTGAAATGGTCTTCATTTGCCATGCGGTACCTAGCATCATTTCAAAGTGTATGCTAATTTACAGCTTAATTTTTAAGCTTAACAATGCACACAGTGCTCCGTCAAATAATGCCTTTAGCTTTGTAAAGATTTCTTCTTTTTTCCAAGCTTAATGTAAAGATTTTTTTAACGCTTACTGTACATATCGCGCAGTTCGTGCTGAAGAGTGCCTAATCAATGCAGTAGGTTTCTAGGCCCCAAATCTTCACCTTCTCCCAGGTATCTATTTCTTGTTTCCATTGCATATTTCTCCTCATGGACAAGGAGAGAAGGAAGGCAGCGTGCTGTGTGTACCGGGTGCTTTGCAGGAGGAACAAGGTTACAACACCGCCTCTGGCAGGTTGCACAACGCCACCCTGCCGGCTTCTGCTGGGGGGGACCTTCATGGGGAGCCTCGTAATTTGTACGTCTGGGGGTCGGCTGTCTTGTCCCAGTGACTTTTATAGACATGTCGAGCTGTAATCCTGGGTCAGCCACAGAAACAGAAGTACTTTTTGCCTCGGGTTCTCATTCCTCCTTTTTCTGACATCAATTCAAAAAGAAAAAAAATACATTTTTTTGAGATCAGGTGAGTGGTGGGTTTTGTTGGTTTGTTTGTTTTGCTGATCGTTCTTTTCTTTGAAGTGATTGATAGAAGTTTAAAGATACAACAGGACATTAAAAAAAAAAAAAAAGAATTTTGAGTGCAATGATTCTTGTTAATATAAAGAGATGCAGTCTGTGTGCGGAGATTTTGAAGCACTTCGCTGGAATATGTTTGGTTTTCTTGTTGTCTTAGTGGGTTTGCTTTTTTCTTTCCTTTAAAAAGCAAGTTTAAAGGAAATAAAAGTTTTAAGGCCGTTTTTTGTCTGATGCTATTCATGGCTGTGATCCCGAAAAGCCAGCCATAAGCTCTAGTAACAGGACATCCATAGGGATAAGGGTGAGCTGGGGGTGAGCTGGCTGGGGCCAGACTTATTTGCAGGCTCTGAGCCTGGCTGGGTTCCCTGTGCTGGCACACTATGTGTCTGTCTGTCTGTCTGCCGTGGTCACTGCTGCACCTCAGGCCGTGCTGCTTCCTTATTTCTTGTTTATGCACATTTCGGCAGTCTGGTGCCGATTGGAGCTGAAGCGATGGAAAATTTGCTGCATTCCCATGCAGGCTGTTTCGGTGGCGGGTCACCCTCACAGCCCAGCATCGGTATCTGTGATGGGAAGCTGCTGCACAGCACCAGTGTCACCGGGCTGCTCGCTGCTGTCACTTGGCCTTGGGGGCTTTTCCAGCCTGCATCAGCGCTTTTCCTCTCAGGGTTAACTTTTTATTTCTCGTTCCTCTTTTATGATGCTAATGCTTTTTCTTTCTTTTTTTTTTTTTTTTTCTCAAACTTGAGCAAAGGGAAATCTCCTCCCTGCCCCTTCCTGCCCAAGAAAGCCTAATCTGTCCTGAAATACATCCTGGGGTGCAGCACAGGCTGCCGGCCTGGGTTTTACATTCCAGTAACTCAGAGGCTTGCTAGCTTAATCTTAGTAGTAAATGCATGGCTTCTGTTTATTTTTTGAGACCCTAGGCTGTAAAGAACTTTCTGTTTATTTTTTGGAGCCTCCAGGCTGTGAAGAACTTCAGCATCCCTAGATATTTGCATTGGTAATGATCCTTTTTTTTGAGAGAAATGGCCTATTAGTAGGCGTGTGACTTAATAATGCATGAGAAAATCAGATGCGTTTCATGTCCCAAGGCCTGATTTTGAATTAAAGCTGCTGCTTTTTGTCATATATTTACTTTATGTAGCTAAATTTATCTGCTAACTTAGTGACTGTTGCAGGAGGAGAGAAATACAGCCCCCTGCCACCAGCTGCTGCAGTATCCATGCAATAGCGGCCCAGCTATCGCTGTGGCTTTCGGTGCCGGGGAGCTGCAGGACCCCGGAGCTGCCGTCTGTCCCCGCTGCAGCTGTGTCCCTGCAATAAATACCCAAGGAGCAGGTTTTGGTGCGTGCCCAGCCAGCCCCTACGTGCACACACAGCTGTTACCCCGAGTGAATCTCGGCACATTTCGCAGGGCGCTGCCTCGCCGTACGGAGCCATCCCAGAGCAGGTGGTACAAAGGATTTATCCAGGGCATGAGTTCAGCATCTGGCTTGGCTCACTTCCTTGGTTTTGTAATGGTTCCTTACACATTTTTGCCAGAGAGAATTGCTGGTCAGTGGGAATGCTTTTGTGCTGGGGCACAGGCTCCACAAGCAGCTGTGGGCAGCTGCGGGGTCGAGTCCTGCAAGTGTGGTCCCCGGCCGTGTTGTGCCAGTCTGGGTTGCAGGAATTCCTGTTGCTGCAGCTTTAATCCCCAAAACAACATTGTTCTTGCTGCTCCCATGTTTTTGGGACGGTTCTGGCTTGTGTTGCTGCCAGTGTTTGGGTTTCCAGCCCCATCCCAGCCCTGCTGGGGTTCCCAGTTACAGGGATGCCAAACTGGGTGCCAGGGTGGCTGCATCCTTCCTGCATTTCCAGGTCTGCATTCACCAGGTTGTAGAGTTACCACATTTTAATGGGAGTTCAGAACGGGGTTAAGCATGGTTATAGAAAGGTTTCTGCATGCGAAGAAAGTTGTCAGAGCCTGGGAGGCTTGTTTTAACCCGAGCAGTTAGCAGTGTGATTTGTGATGGTGCTTTGTGATTTAAGTCACAAAACTACTATATAACTTTTTGGGTAGCATCTTTCTTGATGTGCTATGAGTGAGTTCTCAAATATCCAGACGTCATGTTCTCCTTTTCTGGTTTGTCTGAATGTGCAGACAGCCCATACATCGTGCTGCTGTTTTTCCCTTCCTCCCCTCCTTCCCTCCCAAATGAAATACTTTGCCACTGAAACACAAGCATTTAATCTGGCCATTGTGTGGCACATAATTCTCCTGTATGTATTTTCCATCGTATGTAATTAGCTTTAGTTCTCAAGAACCAATTTTAAATATTCATATAGATCTATTACAAGGGAGCATCTGTATGATGATATGTTTTCTGCATCTGAAAAATAAAAGGACCACTGGGATGGAACAAAAGGCAACTTCTCAAGTTAATTGTAAAATTTTATTGGTGTTTCACTCTGCTGCTCTAGGGTTTCTCCTGTGAATCAATTGCAGACTGCCTAATTTATGGATGAACTCTGTCTGAAAGGCGTCGCAAATTGATTTGCTGACAACGCATGGGAAAAGGTGACCCTAATTTGTTACTTCAATCTCCTGTACAAGCCTATTGGGGGAAAAAAAAAAAAGTGATACTGGAACTTGCAAAAATGTAAATGCAAATTTTTTTTTGCTCATTGTAAAGGTTTTGCATGCGTATTCAGTAAAGTGTAATGAATGTAGGGTGTGGGCAGCAATTGCTTAGTATTATCAAAGATATTAATGAGACTTTAAAATGAATCAAGATGTTTGTCCTGCAGTGTTAGTTCCTATAAGATTTTATACAGAAGCCCTGCAACTTCTTTGTTGGCCAATGTTAATTGCTTGGTGCCCTGAAAAGCCTGGTCTGACGGATAAAGCTCTTTTCTTTCTCCATGTTTCTGTCTTTGTGAACTTACTCCTTTGGTGAGCTTGTAGGTGAGATGGTAAATAATTCAAAATACAGCCTTGCTGCAGAGATCTTTATTTAACTAAAATTAGACCAAGAAGGACAGATAATGAATATTTATGCAGCAGGAGACAAGTTTGGATATGAAATAGGGCTGTAAAATGGCTGTGGTGTAGACCCAATGGTAGACATCTGCTTATAAAATAATTCAATGTTTTTCCTTCCTTTTTCACCGTAATAACAACTTGTGCTTTCATCTCAACTCAGAATTTTGTGGCTGGATCCTGCCCTGGGGTGGGGGCCAGCCCCTAACACCAGCTCTGCTGTAAGCATCACCCAGGGGACCGCAGCTGGGCTGAGGCTGTGTGCCCGTGGCGCTGGTGACCAAAAAATGCAGGTTTTGTGCCTTGTGAGGCAGGCCATGTGCTGTGCAGCACCAGCTGCTCCTCCCATGGGTTTACCCAGGCTTTTCACTTTATAACTCGTTATCTGGAGGTAATTTCTTCCATGCTGAGCATCTCTCACAAAACTTGAACTGGTCTCTTAGGATTTGGCCCCTGATGGAGAATTTCTAGTGGTTCCTGGTAGCAAAGGGATCAATGGGGTGAGCTGAGGCTGAAGTAATAACTCAGCAATTTATAAACCTCCTCTGCTAAAAATGAGCTGAGGCCTTTCCTCCTACACCCTTTGAGTAGGTTTGCTCTTCTTTGTGTGCTCCAAAAGCTGAGGTTATTCAAATGTTCATCAAAATGCTGATACAATGCTCTCTCACACAAGGGACTGTCGGAAAAGGGAGGGCTGGCTCTGCAGTGATGGTAAGCTTTTCTGCATATAAAACTGCAGGACCGGCTCAGGATGTTGATAACACGATGTGAGGTGCTCTGTTAACTGTTTCCTACATTCTGCCCCCAGCAGCCGCAGGACTTGCTCTCCGTAAGGCATTTCTCTACAAGCTCAGTGTGGATTTTGTCAGGCACACAGACCTGCACTGCAGAAACCACTGCCTCAACCAGGGGTGTTACCAAAAGGAAATGGTGAAAGTGGTCAGGAAACGGGGGAATCAGTTCAAGAGGTAGAAGCAGGAAAACTGCAAAAAGCTGGAAGTGGTTTGTTCTTTCTGAAAAAAAAGGGATATCACGGAGCTTCACCTTACAGAATTACCTGGTGAGCCTGCAGGAGCACTGCAGACATAAATACGGCAGACTTCCAGCTATCTTAGCTCAGAAAACACATCTCCAGCAGCCTTTGTGCCTCTCCTGGGAGCAGGCTCAAGGCTGTGTGTGGCGGCTGGAGTGATGCCAGGCAAGGTGAGGGGCAGGTGGGCACAGCAATGGCATCGAGGGTCTGGTGTTTTGGGTTCAGTCTCTGCGTCCTCCCTGCTGGCTGAAGCTGTAGCGTGGTGGACGCTTGGGCTGGCTCAGATCTGGTATTTGGGGTCCAGATTATCTCTCTGATGAGCTGTGCTTGCTGTTTGAGGGAAGGGCTGTGAATTCCAGCTAAGCCAGGAGGAGGAGCACCTGTCCCTGTGGCTGAAAAAAGAACCAACTTCTTGTGAAGTTTTTGCTTGCTGACAAGACTTCTGTTTTTGCAGAGCTGAATTTGTTCCCCTCCTTTATCGGCTGTACCCTAACAAGATGACTGGGATCGATTTGCCTTAGGTGTCGCTGAACAAAGCAGTCCTTCGGGGGTCCCACGTGTGAATAGATAGGTGAAAAAAGGTCTGCAAGAGCATCTCCTTGGGCCATGGATGCTCAGTGCTGCTCGTGAGGCTCCTGCCCTACCTGGAGCAGGGACCAGGCCACCTGGGCCATCCAGTGCTGGTGCTGTATTGCAGTCTGCGGTGGGGCCAGGACAAACGGCGTCCCAAAGGGCTTGGTGTCTCCAACCCAGACCAAGCAGCCTCACAGGGGCCGTGTTTGGGAGCTCGTGGGGGCCAGCAGGCAGTGCTCAGACTGGCAGAAGATACCGTATGAGCCCACTTTGGGAAGGAGGTGAGGGGGAGCTGGAGGTTTCACAGGCCGGTCAGCTTACCTTCATTTCCAGGACAAACCCCAAAACAATTAAATATCCCGGGAAGCAGTTGGAAAGATGTGCAGGAGGTGACGTGGCATGCCCTGTCGGATCAGGCGTGTTCCTGTGGCAGTGTGACGTGCCCCATATGGAGCAGCCACAGACGCTGCCCAGAGGTCCTGACCCCATCTCCGAGGATGCTGTCTGGGAAGCAATTTGGGGAAAGATGGATGCGATGAAACCCAGGCCTTCAGAGCAGCGATTAATTGGAAAAACCCTGCCCTGAGGAGTGCAGGTGTGTGGCCTTCACAGTCCCCTGTGTGGTGTTATGTATTGTGTCTGCTAATGGCTTGGCTTGCATGGGAAGTGTTATATTAATGGCATTCAAAGCAGCCTTGAGTAATTAGGGAGCCATTGTGGAGAGGACAGCGTGCAGATGCAGAGCAGGTGCAGAAGGCTGAAGCAGGAGCAACGAGTGGTACAGGACGAGCTGGGGAAGTGCTGTGCAGGGCCCTGTGCGATCCGTCCTTTGCCACGATGCGTGCAGTGTGCCAACCTCTGAGACCATGAACGGATCGTGTCCTTTGCATTTGGACTGGTGAGGCCTTCCTGATGCCCTGCGAGCACCTGGGGAAAGATCTGGGCTGGGAGAGGTCAGAGCATGAGAATCACCAGGGTTTAGAAGAGACTCATTCAAAGAGGCTGAAGCAATTGTTAATTGTTTCCTAAAGAGATGATCAAAGGGACCTGGGCATCTGCAAGCATAGGAAGCTCAAATGGGAATGATGGGATGGCTCTTCATGGGGTGGGGGAGCATCCAGACAGCAAAACAAGAGAACCCAGACAAGTGGAGGACTGAGACACATTGCTGAGGGGTGCTGAAGAGCATCGCTGGAGGTTCAGAAGCACTCTTCATACAGACATCACGAGTGGTATAGGTCCAGCCGAGGTGATCTGCCAGAAGAGGGCCCTTCTCACTCAGCTGTGTTATTCAGCGCTTTTGCAGCTATCATGGTTATATTTAGAATCTTGCAGTTGTGTGAGCACCTCTATAAAAAATGATTCATTTCCTTAATTACATTGAAACCATGGGGCTTTACACTTAGCCTCAGATTGGAGTTATTTTAACTTACTCCTTTGTGATTAAAAACTCAGTTTGTGGGTGTTAATGGGTGCAAATCTTTTTAAGAATGTTATTTGGGGATTTTTAGTTAACATAGGTGTGAGTTTTTTTTATAATGGAAGGAACAGCAGTAATTTAATTTTTATGTTTTCAGGGGTATTGAAGCAGTTTTCTGTATATACTAGGTATGAAAGTTTTGAGGTGGTGTCCTTGTACATTGCGCTTGGAATAATAGACATACAGTGTCATTTTTAGGAAGTCCTTTGTGGAATCAGGGCTCAGTGATCCTTGGGGGTCCCTTCCAACCCTGGATATTTTGTGGTTCTATAGCTCCTGGTTGTAGCAGTCCAGGTTTGAGAGAAAGACATGCTTAATAATACTTATCACAACTAGAAGAAAAAGCGTTTTATCTACAAATATTTTTGTTAGTCATTGGACTAGGTGATCTTGGAGGTCTCTTCCACCCTAAATCATTCTGCGATCATATGGCAAACTATTTTATTAACTATAATTTGCTTGCTGACTTCATCCTGGTTAAGTATACTTCATTAAGTGTGGACCTACTTACCTTAGCCCAATCTCAACTCAGTGCTAGCTGATGGAGATTGAGTATCTGCACTTCAGAAAAGCACCTGCTGAGAGTGTTACTGAAAGAGCTGATCAGACAACTGCAAAAGCAGTGAAAAGAGTTCTTTAAAGTGTATGCAAATCTATGGACCTCTGTGAGAAAGAAAATGCACTAATTGTCCTAAGCTTTGTTTACTTCATCATGGAAGCATAGTTTTGAATTTGAAAACAATTCTAATTTCTCTGAAGTTGTCCTTCCTTCACTGTTATTGTTGGCTTGATCTTGTGTACTGTTTTCCTAATTTGGGATTTCTGTGATGTGGAAACTGAGAGTTCTAAGTCTCACCTGTGTAATTTTAAATATGGCATCCCTAAAGCCTTCACAGCCTTTTTATTGCTTCATTGAGAGCCGCTGAGCACAGCATGAAAAAGAAGTGTCCCTTCAGATAAGGCACACATTACCTGAATATGGAGAGTTTTCCAAAAATTAAGGCTACAGCCAAAGTTCAATATGTTCCTGGTTTGAAACACTTCTAAAGCAATTATCTTTTTGCTGTGATTTATGGCACATCTCCATAATTACTTTGATTCTAATCCCAGTAAGTAGCAGCGCCAAAAAGTCAAGCACATAAAATTAAAAAAAAAATAAAATGCTATAATACTCCGTACAACTGCCTCATGATCCTTGATGTATTTGTAAAGTCTGTTTGATTGAAAAATTTCTCGCCATTTTTAATGCGGCAAGTGTCACTTTTTAATGGTGGCATGTCAACCCCACTGCAAACACTGTCATTTAATCCTTCGCGGAGCAGACCTGCTAATGCAGTGCTTAATCTGCTAGTGACAACCGGTGATTTATATTCACTGGAGAGCTCAGCATTACTAATTGAAATGGATTTGAACTACTGCTAGCCATGGTAGGGTTGGAGACTTGCTTGTGATGTTGAGAAAGATACGTAGGACTGGCTCTACATGGTCAGTGGAATTTAAAAAAAAATATACTGCAAAAATATTGATTTTGGTCTGTAATAAGATGTTTATCTTTAAAACATGTATTTTTTTTCTAACAGATAACATGTTTTCTCAATGAACTCTTGTAAGCTGTGTTATAGTCCATGAAGGTGGGCACCTACAGATAGTGTGACTACCTACCAAACTAGCCTTTGGCAGAGCAGAAATTTGCATTTCTCGGCTGTCCGCTGTAAATTTTTGCCAGGCACAAACTCTGTGCTCCATATGCTGACCTTCCCTCGCCTGAAAGTGAAAACAAATGTAATAGTTTGTCTGTGTGAATTAGGGACGAAGTGACTAAGCGAGTAAGACAGTCTATCAAGCTTCATTATTCCAAATGAAAATTCATTTTATTCGGTTAATTGGTACTTTGCCTCACTCAATCTCTTACGTGTAAATGGTTATTCTAATTTGTAGTCTTTAATCTGATTATTTCCATCTCTTTTAAAAGCCCTTTATTGCACGTAGTCTATACACATCGGGAATTATTATTGTCAGACACAATTTTGCGAGCAGTTCTATTAAATTATATAGGATTTTAAATGTTAAGTATTTATCTCTTACATTCTGTTTCTATTCCTGAAGAGGCCAGTAGCAAAATCTGTATTTATATGTCAAAAAAAATGGAAGTGAGTGTGCTGTAGGCAGTCCCATTTTAAAACAAATAGGTTTTAATGGCAGTATCGCAGTGTTTTTATAACTCACCTCTAAGAAATGGCTGTGCAGCAGCCTGTGCAGCTGATTTTTAGGAATATCTCCTTCGTAGAGTGATCCCTGGCAGAGTTTCTTGCTGGCTGAGCTGCACGGGATGCACTCGCACGATCGGCTCGTCTGGCACTTTGAAAAATGAACTCAGTCACAAAGAGCGGAGGTTGGAAAGACAAATTCAAGTCATTCCGAGTAGCTCAGGATACTAATTTTAGTTTTTTACTGCAGTCTTTCATTGTGTTTTTGGCTTCCAGGTGTCATTACAGAAAGAGATAGGACTCTGCTCCATCAGCTCACGCAGTTTGCCAGGCTCATCTACACCGCTGCATTGCCCAGATGAGGACCTTTGTGTATATGACAGATAGATAGCGTGTAGATGTATATATGTATATATTTATATTTTCATACATCTAAAGGCATTTATCTTTTTTCTTTTTTCCCAGTGCACGCTGCAGGAGGGCAGCTTGATCAGTTGTTGGAAGTCAGGCGTGCTTTTCAGTTTTGAGCTAACCTTTATCTCAGATGCAGACAAACTATCACAAGCTCTTTCCTTATCCTCTGGATTTTAGGATATCCTAATTCTCTGAGCAATACTGAATTACAGGAATTAAAAAAAAAAAAAAAAAAAAAGATACCTAAGGTATTTATTTTTTCTAAAGTTCCTCATTTTTAAAGCAGATCAAAACATTCAGCTTTTATCAAACTTCCTGAATTTTTCATTTAGGGCTTTCCACTCTCCTATTTCCATGTATTTGCTATTTTTGGTATTATTAAATCCTTAGATATGAGTTATGAAGTAAGTTCTCTATTCTGTACTCACACTACCCTGACATTAAGTGAGCGCTTCATTTATTCTGCGCTAATTTCTCAAGCGGGATTCCCAGAGTTTCATAAACAGGCATCCCTGCTGGATAGGTGTGCTTCTTTTTTAAGCGATTTTGGAAAACCACAATCAAATGATTAATTTTAAAAACTGTCAGGTCAGAAGGGGATTCAGTTGTGTGGTCAAGACAGAAATTAAACGTGTCCTAGTGCAGTAATCCCTGCCAACAGTGCCATTTCCTCACGTTTGGGGGCTGAGCCATCCACTGTGGCGTGTCCCTGGGCCACCCAAGGACCAGTGGCGATGACAAATGCTGGGCAGGGGCTTTTTTGCATCTTCCACAGATTTCTACACCAGGATTGCATTTGGGCGTTACATGCCATGCCTCCTGGGCAGGATTGGAGCTCGCTGTGCAGTTTCACAGTGACGTTTTTGGTCATGCTGCCAGGTTCTCTGCTGGACATGGAAGCATTTTTCTGTAACAATGCCGACTTTTAGAACTGTGATTGTAGCAGCAGGCTCTAACAGGTTTCACCATTTTAAGGCTTTAGTTAATCAGGAATAGCTAATAACCTCTACTACAAAAAATGGGATTCTATGGAGGTAAAGCTGAAGTGCCTCAGCTAGTTACCCACAAATATCCATGAAATAGGGACTGGATGTCGTGGGATACAAGCAGGCAAAATGCACGACATCCTCATGCAGTTCCTGAAGCAGCTGCTGTGGCTTTTTGCAGGCAGGCAGCAGTGGTCTTGCAGAAGGAAGGTGGCCTTGAGCCCTGTGAAAGCTGTGTAATAACGACAGCGCGCACCTCACACCTCGCTTTCTTCCTTTCTGATCTTATCAGCAAGAGGCTTCTTTAGTGTACACGGTTGTCCTTTCCTGTTCAGCGCTGCCTTGCTGCCTGCCTGCTCTTTCTGGAGACGAGTTGTTCTATTTTTTATTTTCTTTATCAGATTATCATGACACTGCACCTCCTTGAGAAAGGAAAGCGTTGCTCTGTCTACAGGGGTTGGGTTTTTTGGTTTCAGAAAATGCTGTAGTTGAGGTCCTGTAGTAACTGCATGCGTTTCAGCATATGAAGCAGATAAATATACATACACAGTAAAATTCACAGTATTTTAATGTATTTTATTCAACTTGCTTACTCCCTATCCACCCCTGTCTGAAGACAAGCACTTGGTGCTTTGCAGAACTTGATCGTACTGAGCTCAGGCTCTTGCACCTGCCCCCAACATTTGCTATAATTTTTCATCCATCCTTTGGCAAGCAAGAATACGAAGCACTTAATCATGGCTTCAGATAAAAATTAGATCCCAGAATTTACATAAACCTTGTAGGTGCGTTTGTTTCTGATAAATTTGGGGGCATCGAATGTGTAATCATGCTACGCTTTATCACATTGAAGAGAACAGGTACGAGACGTCTGGATCTGTATGTCTGTCTGTATGTCTGTCTGTATGTGTGTATGATCTGTATGGAGGTTTTTCATCGTGGTTATTCTCATGTCTACCGGCGTTTGTGTTGGTTGTTTTTTGTTTGGTTTTGGGTGGTGTTTTTTTTGGCCTGTTGTTAAGCGCTACTATATAATATCCTGTGTAAATTGTGCTATTAAATATTTATGCTGATAACATTGGGGAGCTTTGTCGTGCCGTAGTGCTGTTGTTAAAATTTCAGCCATGGACACAGACCCACCATCTGGCTGTGTTCTGCCACTTGTGCAAGCCAGCGCGTGCCCACAGTGCTTGGGTGCAGCGTTTTTGCCAAAGGTGACACTTGAAAATCCAACAAGACTGCCTGCTGCCTGGGGCGGCCGCCTGTTGTAATTAACCCGACTATTAGGGACTAGATAAATGCTCAGAAAAAGTAACAAGATTAATATTTTTTTTCCATTATAAATATGTACCTCAGTTTTGAGGGACTGGAGTGCTTCTGGAGCAGGTTGTCTGCCCCCAGCTGCCGACTCACCCTGCTCCTGCAGCAAGCTCCTGAATTTCTCTACAGTCCCCAAAGCAGCAGCCCATTTTCATCACCTTGCTTCTAAGTTTTTCTACATTGGAAATTATTTTCTGGTCCCACAAAATATGAAATTTTCTGTATTTGGGAGGCTCTGATGCCATATTTTATAGCTTGATAGTTACGGCACGTGTGTTCTCCAAAAAAATACATCATGGTGCTCTGTGTATGTGTGCTTGGAGAATGAAGGCAATGTCAGAAAACATATAAAGGTAGCTCACAACCCCAAAAGGTGTGATACCTGCAATGAGGACAGGCTCCACCAAACCTCCATGCCCAATTTCTTCTCTGTTTACACTCAGATGCCAGTTACTGGTACTTCTGTATTTCGGAAATGATTTCCAGATTCCTTGCCTCCATGTCCTCAGCTGCCGTGTGTTGCTGACACAGAACAACTTTTCTGCCCCGATTTCTGTAATCATCTTTGAATGATGGCTGAATGCTGTCTTCCTGTTCTTGCACTTAAAACATTTGTAATGAATTCTTAATGCCGACAAGTTGCATTTCCTTCCCCTTTGCATCAACAAAGAAAGTTAAGTGAGAAGGCAACAAGTTTTAAAACTTCCCTTGTGTAAAGTAAGCATTGCTTTTTCTTTAATTTTGTTCTGAAGAGCAGAAAAAGGTAATAGTAATTTGACCCAAAAATTTATCTTACGCTTTTCTTGTCTTTCAGATCCAGGATGGAACATCCCTGTTCGTTCCTGCTACTCTGTGTTAGCTTTCTGTTCGTGCAGGCTTTACCACCGAATGGAACTGAATTACCCAAACCCACCACAAGGACAAGTAAGGCCATCATTTAATTGGCAGGGGTGGGAATAGGGAGGGAAAAGGACTTCAGGTGAGGTCCCTGCAGTGACATCCTGAATATTTCTCTATAATGTTCTAATCTTGCCTGATGACATCTGTGTTTGACCTCTCTTTTATTGGTGTTGTAACTACTTTCTCTTTCCCACGTGTGGGAAATACACAACTTGCACACTGATATTTTGAAATAGAGGCAGAGTTGCTTAAACAGCAGAGAGAACAGCAGGAGGAACTACAATATTTTTGTTGCCTTTTCAGTGATGTGAGCTATCTAAGGCAGAGCTGGAGGTGGATAATAGTGCAGGTATCCTGCATCAGGTGAGGTCAGGTGAAAAATAAAACATTTTTTTTCGAAGACCAGAGAGCAATCTTCTACTCTCTGATCCACCACAGCGTCTCCTATTTCTCCTCATTTCCTTCTTTCTTTGACATTTCTTCCTCTTGCTTCAGGACCTCCTGCAACTGGCCTAACACAGCACAGTCCTGTAGAGGGGCTAGATCAAGCCTATTTTACTTTACTTTACTTTACTTTACTTTAAATTTATTTTACTTTATTTTATTTATTAATTTAAGACCATTGATTCTGCTATTATGTTCTATGAGTGGATGGCAAATCTGAGCTGCACGTTGTCCTTATCCTTCATAAACCTAGGTATGTGTGTTCAAATGCCTGTGCAGCTGCTGCTGGGCATTGGCAGTTTGACAGTGCGTATTTATTGGTTTAGGCAGTGGCCATGCACGGCGCTGTGCTCACCTCAGAGATGGATTTAGGAATGAATAGCTTCTATGTGGCCTTGGCTGAAGGATAACAAAGCTGATTGTGTTCCATATGAACACTCTGCTAAAATCTCAGTAACTTTTCAGGTCGCTGTTGTTGTCATCCAGTTTTTATAGAAGGGTGTGTTTTTGCTGTTTTCTTTTTAATCTGCCTGTGAACTTCACACCCCTATGGACGGAAAGCCAAGCAAGAGTCACCTGCCAAGTGCAGCTGCTGGCAGTGCCCATGGCCTGGAGGGTCTGCGTGGGGACTGAGCTCCTGATCCGTGGCAGCACGGCCTTTTCTCATCCAGCTGCAAGGGACAAAGCCAGTAGCAGGGCTGGCTTTGGTCGGTTGTTTGTTGTGGTGTTAATGCCACTTGACATTCAGTCGAGCAGCACTGGAAATAAATTTTGTTGTTTGCACTTCAGAGCTGGTTCTTCAGGTTGTCAAAAAACTCATGTGGCACCAGTGGGCTTTGGATCCCACGTTCATCGTTTTGGTCTGTATTTGTAGCAACTCAGGTCTTAGGCATTTGTGTTCAGCAAGGTGTAAGACTTCAGGGCAGCAGAGGTCCGGCAGTGTGCTGCTTTCCCTTGTTTTGCTTAGGTCTTTCAAATTAAGTAAAATGTGAATATAAATAAAAATGAAGCTAAGTACGAGATACTAATAAATAGCTCTGTTGAAATACTGTCAAATAGTTGTCCTTGCCCTGCCTCTTGTATAGCACCTGCAGCTTTAGAAAAACAAGTTTTTAATATTTGTCTGAATATGTAATATATATTTGTAGGAATATGGGAATTGAGAAGTAACCTTGTTAGCTGTTTCAATATCTAGAACATTTAAATAAAATTATTTAAAACAAAAAAGGACTTCCCCATAGATGCTGTTCACCTTCACAACTTAATTCAAAATTGTGTTGAATACGAGCATGATAATGTGGGTAAGAGTAATCTTACCTTCCATATTTTAATTAAATCTTAATTTCAGTGAGGTGAGTTAGAAATTATTAGTACAACTAAACTTTTTTTTTAGAAATATCAAAGCCTTCATTACTTTGCTGTGAGAAGCAGAGTTCTGTCTGATAAACAAAACATGCACACTGCAAGTAGATTGCTGTATAGAGGGTTCCAAGATAATAGGATTATCTAATATTTTAACAGCTACTGAGCTAATAAAATATTAAAAATAAATAAATAAATATTTCTGATTAAAGTATCAAGAAAACTCTTTTAAAAAGTACAGAAATAACTGAGAAGAGTTGTCATTTTGCATGCAGATTTGATGAATGATCCAAAAAGATAGGATGTTTTTGAGCATTACTCAATTTTTCAGCACTGCTGCCATTTTGCTTCCTGCAGGAGTACCATGAAATTGCTACCATGAAATTCCCATTTAATACAATCAGAATAGTCTGGGTTTTATTGCAACGCCATTTACTGGAGAAATTGTACTGTGACTTACTCAGTATTCAACTGCATAAAATATAAAGCACTATTTATTTATTTGGATTTGCCTAAATTTGTTTATTTGGATTTGCACATACGTTTCAGGTAGATAAAACTTTATGCTATCAAATACATATAACAAACTGTTTAGAGATGATGCTGGTCCATTGAATTCAAATATTTTCTGGTTACTTAAATATTTATTAGTTATCCAGGGTTAATCATAGCCAGGATTCTTTTACTTCTTCTTCTTGTTTTGTTTTGTTTTACACTAGTTATGTCATTTAAATGTCAAAGCAGCCTGGGAGCTGCAGTAGTAAAACTCTTAAATTTAAATGTTTGGAAAGGACTTCAGCAGTGTTTACTGCCTGAATCTTTCATGGTATTCATGCCCCTCTTTACACTTTCCACCACCAATATATTAAGATGCAGAGACAATGACTTTATCAGATGAGTGGGAGCACCTGAGCGGGGTGCCCAGCCCCAGGTCCCGGTGGGTTTGAAGCTCTCCAGGAGGAGCCCCCAGCCCCTCTCTGGGCAGCCTGGGCCAGGGCTGTGGCACCCACCCAGCACAGACCAGGGCCAGGGAAAGCCCCCGGGGCTCCAGCTTGGGGCTGAGACCTCTGGGCTTGGCCCTGGGTGCTGCTGAAAGGAGCCTGGGTCTGTCCTCTTAGGTATATAGGACAGGTATATATGGACATTGATGGGATCCCCCAAGCCTCCTTAAGTACAGCATATCCATTGGTCTTCAGGATGGCAAATGCCAGCATGATTCTTTCATTTGCTGCTGAAGAACATGAGGAGAGAAGTGGGCTTTGGATGCTGTTTTTTTCCCCCACCTTTCTGTTTCCTTTAGTCTTTCTTCAGGATTTTTTTTTTTTTTTCACTTTGGGTATGTTTTTTATGCCTATCAAAGCCTGGTTATTGACTGTCTGTCTGCTTCCTCTCTGCAAGTAGCCACTGTGAAGTACAGCAACTCAGTGCTACGGGGTTTTATTATCCAAAAGTAGCTTGAGGGGGCTCAGGCTGGACTTGGGGCATCCCTGCTGTGTGGGGCACTTCTGCTCTGCCTCACAGCACGAGTTCAGCTGAGCCTGCAGGAGGCAGCACAGCTCTGGGGAAACTGAGGAAGGAGGCGAGCAGTGAATTAGCTTTAAGGTTTTTCAGAGCCTGTAAAGCACATGGTAATTGCAAGAGGCTTGATTATGGTAAATCAATCTCTGTTAAACCTGCTGAGAGGCAAACTGAAGTTAAGCACTTGCAAAAGCTTTTATGGCAGCAACAAAATATTTTGCTACTCACAGAGTCCTGAGATTTCAGAACTGCCCATGTCCATGAAAAGTGCTAAGGCCTGCCCAAAGTATGTCTCTTGGGTCTATCTTCAGCACAGAATTAGTCCAAAGGACAGCACGAGGACAGCCTGTGCCACACGTGCATCTGCAGTGCGAGTAGCATCCCCGGTACCTGCAGCTCAGCAGTAGTGTGAAAGGGTTTCTGTGCCAGGGCTGCACGCTTTGGGAAGCTTGGCTGCTCCCTGCAGTTGCTCTTGGTGAATTTGGAAAGAGTTATCTGCCCTTTGGGGCTTGTGAGGAGCATTGAAAGGCCACAATTAACAGTGAAGAAGCTTGATTGCTCTTTGAAACATGAGCAGAGATCAATGTAAAAGATACGCAGCACTCCCCTGAGGTGGATCATTTGGTCTGACATCTCCCCTAAGTTATGGCATGAGGTCTTGCATGGCCACCAGGCAAGCTGGGTGCAAAATCTGATGCAAGGTGAGCTGAAATCTTCAGCAGAGATGTGGCCAAGAGCTTCTTCATCCATCCTTCGTCTGATGGGAGCACTACCTACATACTGGCGTTGCTGTGATTTGCATTAATGGGCCACTGTACGATCCCAGTCCTACATGTAAAGAAAGTGATCCAGGGATGAAGAGGAGCAAACCTGTGGAGGGAGTATGGTAGGGGGACAGCAGGACACGCGCTGTTGTGTAGATACTGCCGTAAGTTCCCTTTTTTGTCGCGGTTGCTTTTGTTTTTAACGCTAGCACACTGAAACTAGGAACATCCTAACCCTGAAGGAAATGGTGATGCATTTCCAGAAAAAGCCTTAAAGACAACTGGGGCAGCAGTGCAGGGAATAAAGCAGGGAAGGACCCATGAGTCAGACTCAGTGGGTGGCAGGGGAAGCACGAGGGGTTGTCACCATCCTTCTGGTGACAACACTCATCCTTTGCCAAGTTCAAAGTCCTTATTTCATTGCAGTTCTGAAATGTTCCCTCCAGACTATTGTTTCCATGTAGCTGTGAACAGAAAACCATGCGGTTTTGGGCCGCTGCTCTCTTTGTGTTGGAGCAGCAGGAAATTTTTCCCAGCATGGCTGTGGTACAGAAGATGCTTTAGAAGACATCTGCCTCTTCTGCATGTACTTACTCATGTTTCAGCTGTCAACTTTGGAAGCAGCAGTGATTAAAGAAATACTTCACATCTCTGTTTCAGTCTCCCACTAAAATCCGACTTAATACGTAGAGAGTTATCTTGGCCAAAGATCTTTCCATCTGTGAACCTGCAGTGGCCTAAGCCTTGTCACAGCTTTCTGTTGCAGTTTTTTGGTTGTGTTTATAAAATCACCAGTGTGGACACTGAAGAAAATGCAGGTAATAAATGCAATTCTTTAAAAACATGCAGTGCCTTACATGCTGGCTCTGCAGAGGTGAGGCCACTGATGTGCCACTGCAAGGCTTCAGAAATAGATGTGCCCACAAATGAGGAAGGAAGAGCCACTCATGGGTTTTGACCTCATCTCCTTGTAGGGGGAGAGGAAAGATCTTGATGCGGAGAATTGCACCAGGCATTGCAGGGCTGCCCTGTGCTGAAAGAAACGTGGGCAGTCCTCTGGCAGGAGGCTGCACTGCTCCAGGGTTGCACTGGAAGAAGTTTGTGGCCCTTGTTCATGAATCACTTTTCCAAAGTCCCCTTAAAGATAGGGTGTGGGATGTGTCAGCTCTTCGGAAAAATAGAGACAGGGGCTTTTGTGTTGTGTAATGGACTGCGGGAAATTTTAATTCCCCCGTGACTCAGAATTTTTGCTGTCATTTTGTCTTAGGCATCTTGAAACAGAACCGATTATAAGAACTACCAAAACCCCCAAATCCTGGAGGATCCGAAATATTCAGTCTCAAATTTCCAAACTGCAGAAGTGGGCTAAAGCGGTTCATTTTGCCCGTGAAAGGCAAATACATACTTCTTGTTTCTTTATTTGCCAGATCATTGTTTCTATAGCGAGTTCAGTATTGCTAAGTGCTACACAGAAATTGCTAAGCTGCTTCTGCCTGATGTGATTCCATCCAGACACTTCCTACAGTAGTGATTTTCTGAAAGGCCGTCAAGTGCTGGTTTCTGATTACGATTTTGTCATGCCTGTCACTTTTGTCTTCATATACCACTGAAATGTCAAGTTTTGTGCATTTTATTGCCTTGCCTTTCTTCGTGCTATTATGTTGACTGAGGTAGCTTCTCTCCTTGTCTGCCCTGTGGATATGCCTATAAAGGAGGTTTTATTCCAGGCCCTAATATTCTACTTGCAAAACCTCACATTTCTTCTCTCCAAATTTTATTTTTCCCCTCTTTGTGGAGTTTGTTTTTAACAGTGTTAATCAAGCTTGCCTCCTGCTCTCTCACCCGTGACTTAAATATGACTAGGCTCATTTGTTTTGAAGCGGTGATTACCCACGACGTGGAAAAATATCGTTTGATACAGGGCTGGTGTTGTTAGGAGGACCACTTTGTAGTTTTAGGTAATTATTGTAATCTTGTGATTGAATGATATTTTATGTCATGGCTTGTGGCCTATTCAGAAAGTGTTTGCTGCAAATAAAATGAAAGAGTTTAGGTAAGTGTGAATGCAGGAGGTGTTAGAATTACTGCTGCCTCTCTCTACATTCAAAGACCACTGTAGAAATTGTGAGGAACTCATTAAGAATGTGTTAATACAGTTTAAAAAGAAAGCTACCAGCAACCAAAACTGCCTTCTTTTTGGTAGAGCATATGCTGGTAAGAAGGTTGACAAAAAGAGCACATGAGGAAGGCTGAGGAAGGCTGCTGTACGGACGGAGAAGTGGGGGTCCCAAGACCCATACTGGCAGATACCACGAGCAAGGGCTGCTACTGCAGGGATCTCATCTGGCTGTGACCAAGGAGAGCTCTGTCCACGGGCAAAAGCTTTGGGCAATAATTCATGATCCCATCTGCCCACCCCGATGCTGAAACTTGGGTTTACGAGCCTGGTCGGAAGGAGAAACAGGCAGCAAGGCTGTATTTTGCTAGCTGAAGACTAAGGCCGAGAGTTTTGTTTGCTTAAACAAAACATGCTCGTTTTTGTGTGTTTTTAATGTGTTATATATTGTTCAGTAGCATTAAAAGGTTACAGAAAGCACATTGAAACTGAAATGTGAAGTGCCACATACATTGAAAAAAAAAAACACTTAACAGAAGGGTGAGACTTGCAGTTCATACTGGATATAACATAGATTTGTTTTTATCTCCATTCTGAGCGTGTATAAAAATCCCTGCCTGTATTTGCATACATCGTGGCATGTCACATTGGATAAGTTGCATGTGTTTTAAACAGACACCATGCCTTTGGAGTAGATAAAGTCTAAGGAAAGGGTGGCTCTCCTGGATGATTTCTGGCTGGTTGAGAAGCAGCTGCTGCATGCAAGGATAATTGCACAAGGAAACCTGTAGAATGGGCTTCAAATGTAGTTCAGGACCTTGCAGCACTTAAATTTATTTTAATTACAAGTAAATTTGTTGCTAACCAGTCATCCCCAAAATATACGTGACACTGTCAGCAACAAATAGAGAGTGCTCCATGCGTGTGTGCCTTTGAAGAAAAAAAAAAAAAAAAGGTTTTAATTTCAGCTTTGCATATATTAAATAAATTTGTGATGCTTTTTAGTAAGTGCAAGCAGATCGTTGCGTAGAACCAACAATTTCTGATATCCCAGGCTGTTTCTGCCTGTGCTGGATGAGGCAGTCTGCATCTGTACTGCTTCACATTGACTGTCTTTCATTTTGCAGACTCTACAGAGGAGAACAATTTACACAGGGACCTGCTGACTTCCATGCTGATCCTGCTGCTGGTGTTCATCATCTTCATTCTGTTGGCTGGCTATTTTTTCAGGTACGTCTGTGTGGAGCTCTGCGTGCAGAACTAGTTCAGTCTTGTTCTGATATGATCTAATGAGGAAACGAAAGCGTGCGTGCGCATGGTGCGGCAGGAGCCTCCATCACAGCGCAGGGCAGGGAGCCGTGGTGCTAGCGGCTCTCGCCGTAGCAGCTCGCGGGAAGATGAACAGAAACAGCTTCTCCAGGCTTACATGGTTGGTAAAGGCTGATTTGGGAAAATGCAGGTTACCTTTAAACGTAGTTTCTCAGATTAACGCGGCGTGTGTATTTAAAGGTTCAGAAGACATCGGAAAGCTGTTGTGAACTCCGGTGACAAAAAGATGCCAAATGGGATCTTGGAAGAACAAGGTAAGGAGAGATTTGCTTTCCTTGTCTGTGTGAATTGTGTGTATGCACACACTCTGTCATTCATCAGGAATTCAATTATTCAAGCATTAATTATGCTTGCCTCTTATTTTATAATGTAAATTCTAAGATTATTAATAAAGAGAAAATAGTAAAAACAAAAACATCAGAAGAGGTCCATACTTATCTATTCCTCTATCTCTGTCTATCTCTATCTATCTATCTGTATCTATTTATCTTAACTTCCAGGTGTTGGTTTTAAATAACTTTCATTTTATGTTGTGATGCAGCAAATACTTCTTTGAAATGTTCCTCAGGTTCTTTAGAAATGTTTTATTAGGATGCTGACTGAGATCCAAGTTTCTGGCACTGTGATCATTATATTAAGAGAAAGGATTGCAATATTTCTTCATAAAATAAAATAAAATAAAATAAAATAAAAAGCCCTTAACTCTTTGTGAAAGTAGCAGGTTGTTCCTGCACATAAACAGGCAAGCAAGGGGATGAGATAGGGATGTGTTGTAAGCCAGTTGGACTAAAATAAAGTACTCCCAGGATTTGGTAAATGTTTTCCCCTGGCTTTTTTGAATGTGCTGCTTTTATTTCCTTGAGCAGGGAGCCCCCAGGGCTGGTGGCTCGGTGGGGCTCAGGAAGTTCAAACATAGTACATGTGGAGGAGCCATTAGTTTCTTGCTTATAAATTTTGTGGCCATAACAAAGAGGAAAATGTAATGAAATGGAACAGTTACGGTGGTTCTTTCTGTCAAATCCATAAAGCTACATATGAACTGAAGACTTGGTTAAAGTAATGTGGAAGAAAACATCAAGAAAGTCAGGCTTCTAAATACACCCCGGATGCTTCCTGTTCAGTCCCGGCGGTTGTGCACAAGCCCTGCTGAACCTGCTCTGGAGTTTCTCTGTGCCTGTCCCTCAGTGGTTCATGCACTCATTGGGAGGGTTTAGTTTTGAAGCCTGGCTGCTGGAAGTCATGCTCGGCTGCCAGGCTACAGGTGCCTCATGTGTGAAGTAATCCAGTAGTATCTCCTGCGGATAAATACCAAAAATTGGCCCTCCGGTCCCTGCTAGTGGCTCTTGGCTGCTGTCTGTTCCTCAGCAGAAGGGGAACCTTCTTCTTTCCTAAACAAAACTTGGTCTCACTGTAATCTGGTGTGAGTACAGAAACCATTGATTTTACCAGTAGTGGTTCTACTTGAGCTGAGTGTGTCTTGAAGAAGTCACTTGGCCTGTGGCTTTGGTTTCTTATTTCATTTAAAATCAGCTTTATCACTGATTTAAGTCTCGTTTGAGAAGTATGTTTTGACATCCTCCAATGTGCAATTAATTTGCAATTTGAATTAATTTATTGGTGTGCTCTGAACATGGCTTTAACTTTTATTTTCCTTGAACTGACAGAACAGCAAAGGGTGATGCTGCTCAGCAGGTCTCCTTCGGGCCCAAAGAAGTATTTCCCTATTCCAGTAGAAAATCTTGAAGAGGAAATAAGGATCCGATCAGCAGATGAAGGGAAACTGTTCCGGGAGGAGTTCAATGTAAGTCATCAGATTTGGGGTGAACAGCTGCATAGTGAAAAATAGGGAGAAAATCAAAATGTCTACAAATGTTAACAATTTGTTAAAAAATGTGTGTGTGATGCTGATATCTCAGAACCTTAGCACATGTTGTGTGAGTGTGCTGGTACAGTTTGTCCTCCTTTAACACTTTTTCATTTTGTCTGGATCAGTTTTAAGGCCAAAATGCTGTTTTTATTACATTGCTTGGGGCATTTGAAGAGGGGGATGTTCTGCTTCAGCGTTCGTGTCCTGGGCATTACCCCTCTGCACACCTGCTCTCAACGCCCTGTGGCAAAATCTGAAAGGTTAACTGAAAGGTTAGCATTTAAAGGTCTGTGGTAGAGAGGAAAGTGGAATAAGAATCTCGTTAACTTTGATTTTCTTGTTGGTAGGGGGAAGCAATTATTACGAGTGCCTCACCTCTATGGGAAGTACTTAGGGTAAAAGAGTGTGGCCTGTAATATTGCCCTAATGAGTTTTGGGGGTTTTTTGGTGATTTGACCTGTTGCTCGCTGTTATCCTCCCATCACTTCCCTTTTCGTAGGTCTTGGTGCCCTAGTAGATACGTTTCCATGAAGTATCTCAGCTGTGAGGGTTTCTCTGAAGCGTTGCCTTAGCCAGAAAGGAGATTCTGTTTTCCCCACATAACCCAAACAGCTGCGTGTGGTTGTGAGAATGAGTCGTAACCAGAGCCTGTGGTGAGCTGCTGCAGACCGGTGTCCATGGTGAAACATGGCACTGCCAGCCCGCCCTCACATGCCTATTTCATGAGCCTTTACCAAACTTTCATTATTTCTCTTCACTTGCCTTAGCAGCAGAAGCAAGTTGCACAGAGCAGTAGATTAAATGTCAAATACAGAGTTGTCAAAGCCAATGCATGCATTAATTAGACAGCCTGTTATGTTACCTTCTTAATTGGTAGCATATTTATATCTGCAATTTGTTTGATGGTATATTTAAAAGGTATAATTTCTTTGCCTTGCAAGAGACGCAGCATTGTGGAGATATTTATCTAACTCGACAAAATGAATGTGAAAACTAATTTGTCAAGATGCACAGTTGTGAATTTTGACTCTCCTGATTAATATGTTCCACAGTCAGGAGTGAAACAAGCAATCTATTTTTATTTTAAAACCTGCTCTGCTTGGATTGTTTTCTGCATCGTGCTGCGAGCGGGTGAGCTTCTGTCTGCACACAAGCTCCAAGTCTGAAAACCGTGCTCCAATACCTGTAAATGAACAGGCACGTGTAGAGCAGGCTTGTAAGTGACTGTGGGTGATGGTACATAACGTCTGCTTGATGGGTTTTGTGCTGTTTTTTTCCCCGTTATATTGCCTGTGGCTGCTTGCGGACTTGTATGTGCTGCTTGCTCAAGCCTGAGAGGGGAAGGAAAGGTGAAAATTGAACTTTAGTGATCAATATTATGACATAAAACAGGAAAATGGATAAACAGAAGTCTGCTGTTGCGATGTGAGAAAGAAAATGGTTGAGAATTCGAGACCTGCCAGCATGGGATGCCTACGTGCCAGCCCCTCCTTCAGAGGCCCAAATTCAGCTCCCGCCAGGCACCAGGCCATGGCAGCTCCAGCCCAGCAGGCTGGCCACAGGAGTACCTCACCAGGCCTATATAATGTCCCAGGAAACACATACAGGGTCTCTTCCTTGAGAATTTGAAGTGGATTTGGGCTGATTTTGATGTTTTGGCACTCCTGCGAGCCAGCAGCGGCTGCGCATTTGCACCGCCCAGAGGAGTTGGGCCCTGAGGGATTTTTCTAGTGGAAGTAAAAAAGCAAGCACTGGTAGGCAAACAGTGCACAGCAGATAGAAAGGATTTTTGAGGACAGTTCTGTTAGATTTATGGGCCTGATTGTGTTCTTCGGTGCTTTTGATTTTACCCTTAAAGCCTAAACTACCCTAAATTGCACATGTTACACTTGTACACTGAGATAGCAGTCTCCTACCCTCGGTATCTTCATTTTATTAATTTTATTTCATTCCTGTGTTTACATAGGGCACTAGGAAGTGTGTTTTCTTTCTTCACAGCACAACAAACAAACAAAACAAAACAAATATGTTCCTTCCTGTATTGGTCCCTCAAACAAGACTTAACTCTATTTATTATCCATAACACAAAATGAGCTGGCTGCTCGTTGAAGTGTATGATGGCTAGGGTCATTGCCTCAATCTTTGGATTAATGTCTGAAAACCTTCCTAAGAATTTGCCTTTGAAGTTTTAATTTTGATTTAAGATGTCCCTGTGGTTCATGCAGTGAAAAAAAAAAATGAGAAAATGTGCTGATGCTTGGATAGGTCATACTGCTCTATCACTTCGCAGAGCTTTTTAGGGTTCCTGTGAAGTGGGAGCAGATAAGATTGCAGTGACCCAGTACCCACTGGGCAGACAACCCAGTGCCACCAAGACTCATCATCTCCTCATGACATGTGGGAGGATGGAGAGGACATGATCAAGTGCATCTTTGTTGAATCCCATCCTCCTCTCTGGAGATGGTTGGGTTGGGTTGTGAAGCCCATTGAAATGGGCGGTGTCCTTGTATGGGGTCCAAAGCACTCCTTTAGCAGTGTGGTGTGACATTAGGAAGTGTCCACGGAGGTGTCGTGGACTTGCAGAAGTAAGGAGCAGGGACTGGAAAGATTATTGTGGAGTGGTAATTATTTTTCATGCATTTTTCACATAAACATGCAGGACTAACATGACGTTTCATTGGGAATTCTTTTGGCTATCTTCAGAATGAGTGCTAATTATTTACTGTTATGCAAAACATAAATTCAATTTCTGTTTCTTAAAATTGTAAATGTGTTTTGATTAGTTTTAATTAGCAAAAGCATGGGTTTCAATTGAATAAGGAATTAGGCAGTTTACTAGAAGTAGTTTTCTTTTTTAACTGGTAGCTCTTTTTTCTTTCTTTTTTCTTTTTTTTTTTTTTTTTTTTAACCTTCTTTCTCTTACATTCACAAGTTTAGGCGGTATAAAGAAAAAAAAAAAACAAAACAGAAATGCAAGTTGCTGTTCTTTCTGTGTCGGTGAGGTCCTCCCTCCTTTCCTTCCTCCCTCTTTCTATGCTATGTAACCCTGACAACACTGATTTCTGTTTGTAAGGGGAAAGTCCAAACAGTGCTTTATGACAGACAAGCAGGGACAGTTGCTTTAAGCTAATTCTTAAAATACAGTCATTTCCCAATTTTCCCTTCCCCTAAGTGATTCAGAGTAGGCTGAGCAGATTTGGGGGAAGTGGAGGAGGTAGAAAGGGGGTGGGAGAAGGAGGTTCTGCACTCGCAAACTGCTGGGATTTTACCTCACTGTGATCCAACACACACTAGCATTGTTTGAGGAGATAAACGTACCAAACCTGATGGACCTCCATGCTCCTTCACACTGTCATGAGCAGGGCATCTCAAAGCACAGGGAACATGAGTCTCATGCTGTGTTTCTGGATGAGCAGCATTCCTTGTTTTTTTTCCGTGGGCCTTTTCGATAGCAGCCACCTCTCTCCAGCTTTCAGGGAAGCCCCTGTGACCTCTTGGTGATGGTATCCCATCAGCATTGACTGTGGAGGTGGAGCGTTTCCACCTCTGGCACCTCCTTCTTTTTATCTTCACCATCTTCCTCTCCATTTCTCATTTCTTCTTTTCATTTGATTGTTCTGAAAGACTTTTTTTTTTTTTTTTTAAGCCTGACTAAATTTATCTGCAGCCTTAGATCTTGCTGATTACAAGCAAAATTTTTACTCGTGCTCTTACACTGAGCTCTGAGCTTCAATACTAACGAATTGTGATTTATTTTATTCCTCCCTTTCTGCCAGAGTTGGAGCCTCACCTGTAGATCTGGACAAGACGGTTGATATTTCATGTTCTCAGCGCTGAGCTATTAACAATCAAACTCTGTTTCTGTTATTGAACCAACTGCTATTGCTAAAAGTAGCTATTGGAGCAGAGCTCGACAGAGCGATGCATCCGCATGGCTGGGTCACGGCGCTATGAATCATGATGGCAGATGGCATCTTAAAGCAGCAGCTCAGATTTTAACAGTCTTCTAAATAACTGTGATTTCTGGTGGAAAAATTACTTATTTTTCAAAACTGCTGAACTCGTTTTCTGCACTGAAATCTGCCAGGCCATGGTTTCCTGTTTTAGAGTAATGAAAGTTATTTTTTTGGAAAAAAATAAAATATGTTTAATTCTGTTGGATGAGAGGCATTATGTAGAAATGCAGATTTTTCCTATGCTGTGTGCAGTCAGCAGTTAGCTATTTTATAACACAATGACTCTTTGTGTCTTTTTGCAGTCATTAACACCTGGATATGTGCAGGGAACATTTGAAATGGCAAACAAGGAAGAAAACAGGGAGAAAAACAGATACCCTAACATCCTTCCATGTAAGACATTACCTTTTCTTCTAAATCAGATGCTTTCTCTGTCTGGCATTGAGCATGGTGGCGGTGTTCATTTGCTGAAAATATTCAAGTAACATAATCTCACTGGCCACAGGTGTTCTTCATATCTCTGTAAAGCCTGTTTATTTTGCTGCGGCATGTCTCTAGCTGTTGATCATCCTAAGTCATGTTTTTCTATAAAGCTAATCAGGTGTTGTGATATAAAAACTTAGTGTTCTACCTAACGACTATATGTCAAACTGGTGTTTCAGGGCTGAAATAAAACAGAGTGAAGTTTGGGCTTCCACTGTTCTGGAGATGCAGTCCCAGTAACCCTCAAGTGTGAGGACAAAGCAAGACTTGTGTGGAGGAAGTTTCTTGATGAGAGCTGGGGACAGCACACAGCTGCTGCTGAGTTCAGCAGAGCCCCCACAGCCGCTTTGGGCAGCGATGTCCTCCAGGTCTGGCTCTTGCAGCCACAAACCCTTGTGAAAGTGCTGTGCTTTGCAGCCTGCACGTACAGTCACCGTTCTCAGGCTCTGGCAGGAGGAGGTGAAGGGCCACCAAAACCCACTCGTGGTGTCCACAGGGTTTAGCTGGAACAGAGCAGAGCACCTCTGAGATAGCTGGGGTGCAGCCTGCAGTTTGGGAGACAACTGTTGCTAAGCCTGTCCTGACATTTATAAGGAAGTAACATACTGAAGACTGATTCAAATGCAAATGTGCTTGTAATGCCTTTTTTTTTTTTTCCAGATGATCATTCCAGAGTGATTTTGTCCCAAATAGATGGAGTCCCACCTTCAGACTACATTAATGCGTCATATATAGATGTAAGTTCAGTTTTCCACTGCTAGCCAAACTGCTAACTTTGACTGTAAATTAATATTAAATAGGCATTTTTCTGCCAGCACACACTGACATTTCATTTTTTAACTCCTATGATATTTATTTCCATAGGGTTATAAAGAAAAGAATAAATTCATAGCAGCACAAGGTAATTCATTCTCATCTCTCTATTATGTGTGTTTTATGGCTGAAAGTATTTAATTTTAGAAGTTTTATAAAGGTTATTTTCGGGTTCAGATGGTGGCCAAATGTGAGGTGAACTTTAAATGTTAGACTGTAAATGAAAGTGAAGTGAGCTTGGGGGCACCCACTGCATTTCAACCTGCAGGTACTCTTCTTAGCTTGGAGAATTTCCTTTCTCCACTTCCATCTCCACTTTGTTTCTCTCTTCTTTTGTCTCATCTGGGGGTTTGGGTGAGGAAAAATAATTGTGTAAATAATAGGATTTTATTTATTTATTTATTTAGTATTAGTGTTACTGTTTTTAAGAAATAAGCAGTATGGGTCAAAGCATGAGCAGTTTGTAGTAAACACAGTTCTGGGTGGGCACCCAGCACAGGGGATGTTGGCGCGTCCCGTGGTGCTGCTGGTCTTGGGCACATCCGTTGAGCAGAGCTGTGTTCTGTGTGCAGGACCCAAGCAAGAAACGGTCAATGACTTCTGGCGGATGATATGGGAGCAGAAGTCTGCAGTTATCGTCATGTTAACAAACTTGAAAGAAAGGAAGGAGGTAAGGAGCTGTCAGCGTGACAGAGGATGTCTCTACCAACGTTGTGATCCAAAAGTAGCTGCGGCTGCTCAGCACCTGGCCAGCCGTGTATCTGACCACTTCCTTTTCCAGCCCCTAAAAGGAGCTGAAAGCTCATCTGAGTGCCTGCTAATGAACGTACTTTTAGCTTCCCAAAGTCCAAATTTATGCTGGTAGATCTTGAGGATGAAATTCTCATAGCTGATTTTGTCCTGCGTCACCCGTAGCCAAAGGCACATTCTTGTGCCTTTGTTTTCTGTCAGCATAGGACTGCACTTGTGGGTGGTTTTGGTTAGAAACGAAGAGAAAAACGCTATTCATTTGTATGCTGAGTATTATGCTTCAAAATCCTTTCTGGGGCATGCACACAACAATTGAAAAACAAGGCTGCTCTCTTGCGAGAGCGATTCTGCTGCTTCCTGTTCCCACATTCCCCCGGCGCGCGGTGCTCCTCCTGTTGCGTGAGACTTTCTGCGCGTATTGGCTGAGCACCGAGACGCAGCGAGCTTCAAACATTTAACTTCTTTCCTGCCTCGGAGATCTTAGAAGCTAAGTCAAAGCATTAAGGAAGTGCACCATCACGAGATTTTGACAAGAGATCCTTCAGGAGTCTTTTTTTCTTTTTTTTTTTCCTTCTGGGGGAAAGTTTGCTACGCTGTTTGTGCCACAGCCTTATTGTATGAATACCTAAGTCCTCCAAATCATACACCAGAAGCAAACCTCGTTTCCCTGTTAGCTGTGAAAGCCAGGAGGCAAAGCAGGCAGAGCCCAGCAGCTTGCTGGTGCCTGTTCTGCTGCTCAGAGGCGACCTCTCCTGCCAGCCGTGCCGTGGTGGTGACAGTGGCACCTGCCTCGGGATGGCAGTGGGATGTGCATGGCTTGGGGGAAATGGCACGCTGGCCTTCAGAAGTGTTATTCATTCATTTATTTACTTATTTATTTAAAACAAGAAAGAAAATACAATTCAGGTACTCTCATCTCACAGCAGTGATGAGGAAAGGCTCTCCTTTGCCTGTTCACCGTGGCACTTCTGCTTTATTTTACTGTAATTGTAGCATTGCTTGATCAAGCTCTCAAACTGCAAAGCAGTCTGTAAGAAGAGCTTGTTTCCAGTGTGAGAAGGCAGAATCGTTAAACTGTTAAAACTCGATGTTCCTGATGACTCCTACATAAGGACTCCCTCACATTTCTCACTGGCTACACCCAAAGCTTAAAAATAAAGGGTCAAGACATCAAAGTTCCCTCTCTATCATCAGAAATCCCCCCCTGCCCCCCCCCCCCCATGTGGTTTAGATCTGGATAGTTTAAAAAACAGCTTCAAAGCTTTTCACACCCTTCTCTGCATAAATTTAATCATCGATAGCACTGGCAAAGTGTTAAAGCTGTCTTCTGTCAGATGACTAACCCCACGTACTCTAATGTGCACTTCTGTGCACAGTTTTCAAATACCTGCCTTGTTTTATGTGTGACCAGCAGTGAAGTCAGATTCAGCGTTACAAACTGCACCGTGTGTTTGTACAGGAGAAATGCTATCAGTATTGGCCTGATCAGGGGTGCTGGACTTACGGGAACATCCGCGTGTCGGTGGAAGATTGCATCGTTCTCGTGGACTACACCATTCGCAAGTTCTGCGTCCAGTCGGTCAGTAACAACGCTCCTCTCTGCCTCCATTTTAACTTTTCAAGCAAATTGTTGCAATGCCAAATTAAAACAAAATAGATTTGGAAAGTAGGTTAAATATTTGCAAATCAAGAAGGGTGCTGTGCTGCATCTGGGCGGGCTGGTGGGCTCTGTGTGACAGCATGCATCGTGGCCACGGCCATTTAATGAATTGCAACAGGCTCTGCTCAGGTTTCTTCTTGCCTGTAGCCAAGTGCCACAGCATTCATTGTAATTATCACAGGAGCAGAGTGATGAACTTTTGGGGGACAAATTGTATAGATAGATAAATGAGTAAATTTGAATATAGCTGGGCTTTTAGAGTGGTCTGTGGATTCTAGATACTGGCTGGCCAAAGTCAGACAGCATTAGAGTTTGGCTTCTCTCATAACCTTGGTCTTCAGCACAATGAAAGCTTTAGATCACAAGAGAGACAGAGGTGATGACTGCATGCACATCCACAGTGTGTTGCCTCTTACAGGGACAGGCTCCCAGAGATCCTCGCGCCGTAAAGGGGGGTTGCTGTGTTTGTAATGCAATTACAGCGTAATGCAGGTTGAAGTCTTCAGATTGAATCACAATATTTATTTCAGGCAGTATGTCTAGTGAGAGCTGATAAGCTGTGTCCAGCCATATAGAACTACTTTCATTTTATTTTTCATGTATGATACAGAGTGCTGATAGTCAACACAGGCCATGTAAAGCAGTGGATAATACTTTTAACTGTCCTTTAATGCACTGATGTGAAATGTTTATCCCCATCTTTCAGGTTTTGTGATAAAGCAGTTTGCTAAAGTTGGCATTCGGCACCTCATAGTGATGCAGGTCTTCAATGTTTAGAGTGAATTTTCTGAGTTTCATGTGAAGTTGCTAAAAGGAGTGTCGTGAGGATTTTATAAGAGAAAAAGGACTTGAGATTTGATCCATTATTTGCATGAATTGTGAATTTTGTACTTTACATATCTTAATTTGGGATTATTCCAGTTTTCTCTGCAAACATGCATTTTAAGAATATATGGTAATTCTACTCCGTGTTTATATTGTACAAATGCTGTAAGTGTCTAATCCTTGAGTCAGGATCCAGGTGTTGCAGGAATACAAGTCATAATCATGGGAGTTTGTTTATAAATCTCAGCGTGGAAAATGAGATGTCCAACTCAGTCTGTGTGTTCCCTGCAGCTGCATGATGGTTGTAAAGCACTGAGGCTTGTCACACAGCTTCACTTCACCAGCTGGCCTGATTTCGGAGTGCCTTTCACACCTATTGGGATGCTGAAATTCCTGAAGAAAGTCAAAACGTTGAATCCTGCCCATGCTGGGCCAGTAGTGGTTCACTGCAGGTAGGTTTGAACTCTTCAAACCATTCCATTAGTTTGGCCTGGAGTTACACATGGAATATTTAAGCTGAATGTTTATTTTTTGTTAATAGGCTACGCGCTTTTTTGTGTTTGTTTGTATATGTATGCATATAAAGGTCAATAGTACGCTAAGCTTTTTAGAGCCAGGGGTAAGAACAGTTTCAAAAGATAGGTCTTTGCTGTCACTGTAATACTCAGACAGAAGGTTTTGTTTTATCCATGGATGATCTTTGGTATAAATATGCTCTTTGTCAGAAAAACAGACTTGTAATACAAATCTGTGACCTTTGCCACTAAATGCTCCTCTGAGAATTCATCCTCCACTTTTCCCACAATAAAATTAGTTTGCTATGTAAATCGTCCATTAAATGCCTTGAAGTTTTTTAAATAAAGGCTTGTATTTAAGAGATTGAAATGCTGCAATTTAAGAAATGTGCTACATACCGATGCAGAACACAATCCCACTCATTCAGTCGCAACCACATGAACTTGCTGCTGTTAAAAGTTTGTGCTAAGGTGTTTGAAATTAAATGTTAATGAAACCACAATCAAAAAATTATTTTTAAAAGAATAATTACAATCTCTGTAGCAACTGTAATGTTACAACTGAGGAAGAAGTGACTTTTTAGGAACAATTATCGTACTGAGCGAGGTTAGAGTAAAAAGAAAAGAATAGCAGCTTTGTCTTTCTGGGTTTTGTTTTCAAGGAAATGGTTGTAGGTTCATATATTTCTTTATTTTCTGTTACTTTTGTCGGACATCTAGAAATACTCTGAGAGTCCTTGAGGACTCCCTGTGCACTACTGAGAAGAGCATGGTTGTCCTGCCCAGCCAGCCTCTTCTTTTTTTGTTTCCAGTTCAAATTTTGTCTTCTCTCCCATGTGCCATACATAAGAGTCTTAAAGAAAAGCCTCAGAAGGAACAAGACTTTAGGAGTCTCACATAGCCTTTCCTTTGAGAAACCCACTGTATTTTTTCAGCCTTTAGCCGTGATGTTCTGTGGAGACTAATACTGGGTTTGAGCTTTATTTTGAACCAGAATGAAGTTCTGTGCTTAATTTAATTAAGAAAAGTAGAGACAAAATAAAGATAAATCTCTGCAGACTTCTAATGAGATATTTTATAATTAAATCAGGTATTTTATATTTATATACTGGTCCAGCAGCACGCTGTCACTGCACTACATGCCAGGTGGGGATTTGTGTGGCACTTTGGCCTGCTTTAGAAGTAACGAATGAGAAAGGTGACACTTAATTTCCGCTACAGGCAGGATATGACACTATTGAATTGTTGGGAAAAGGAAAGGGAAACTCATCGATAGTGAGTAACCGTGCATTTGCGGGGGGGGGGGAGCTTTTACAAAAATATCATCCAGTCATTCTGGGTAAAAACTGCTCAGTCAGAGATTTTTGAAGGTTAAAAAAAAAACGCTAATTTGGCATTTGGGAGTAAAAAGCAGTAGGTAAAATACAGGGAGGGGAGGGGAATCGGCAGTCTCTGCCAAAGTAAGTTTTTGTCGTACTGAATTTGATGTTGGTCTGCAGGAAGCTGACCACAGGCAGAGGGGACGTGGGCACCCATGGGTGAGGGACGAGAGAGGGGCCCAGGGGTGTGAGGCCAGCGGGTGGGTGGCAGAGGGCACATCACGGCCAGGGGTGGCCTCCAGGACACGTCAGGAGGAGGAAAATCTCCGTAAAGTGTGAGTCAAGAAAGCAGGGCTCGAGGTGGAGTCGGCCGCTGTGGGAGAGGTCAAACGTGAATGAAAGGAAGCGAGAGGGAAGGGAGGCCTGGCTGCACTGAATGGCCGCATGCGGTAATTGTTTTCTTCGGAGATGATTTAAAACCTGCCGTTTCCTTGCTGAAAGTTACTCTGCGTCTTTTGGGCACGTGGGGATGAGGGGAGAAACGTTTGGCGTGATTCAGAAGGTGTTTCTGGGCGTCACGGCAGTTGCTGTATGAAGTAAGCTAACAGGAGGTTAAGGCAGAGCTATTAATGCCTAGCACAGGATGCCATGCCCTTTTCCTCTGAAAGGAAGAGCTGGAAATCAGGAGCGATATAATTTATAGTAATCTTGCTCCCTCTCGTGGCTGTTGAAGGATATTTAAAAATATATATATATATTTGGAGATAGCAGCATGTTCGGTAGTGTAGAACTTGTAACAGCAGTCATGCAGAAAAGAGGAGGAAAAAAAAGGAAAAATATTTAAAATTTAATTTTAGACAATTATTTTAACTGCTCAAGCACAGTTGTGTGTTTGTTTTGGTTTTTTGTTTGTTTTTACCAAAGGTGTTTGAGTAACATAATTGTGATCTTACCTCTTCAAACAGCTTAGAAATGGTAACTTTTTAGGTTAAAAACTTAGATCCTTTTGTGTTGCTGTCCCTACTAGAATCAAAAGTGAAAACGTGTTGCACATTGAGTATTTCAGTTCAGTAGAAACAGCACAAGTTCAACCTCTGTCCTTGCCATAGCAATTCTTGCAGACTTTGTAGTTCAATTTTTTTTTTTTGTCTTTTTTTCTCTCCTTTTTAAGCGCTGGTGTGGGCCGAACAGGCACGTTTATCGTTATAGATGCCATAATAGACATGATGCATGCTGAACAGAAAGTTGATGTTTTTGAGTTTGTTTCAAGAATCCGTAATCAGCGTCCACAGATGGTTCAGACTGACGTAAGTAGGAATTGGTTGAAATTACAATTTTTCATGTTTTCTTCAAGTCGATTAATGCGCATCTGTAGTCTCCAGTGTGATATTCCCTGTTCTGTTGCACACCTGGGTAACGGGGACATAAGCAAAGCTCAGAAGGGTAATGCTGGGGAAGGAGATAGAGGCACATTCAGTCTTTGGCATGGAGATAGATCACTGTAATGCACGTTATCTTGTGGTGTGGTGTCCAGGGTTTCCCCTTGCACAATTAAGTGGAATTTAAGGAGTGATGTAACAGGAATTCTCTTTTAGCCTAAGGTATACGTTGGTGATCAGTGAGTTGTAGGCCAAATGAGGTGAATGAACGTGCCAGACATGGTATGGTTTGGCTTCCTTGACGTGCATCATGCTTATATGCCTGTTGTTTGTTCCAGATGCAGTACTCCTTCATTTATCAAGCCTTACTTGAATACTACCTCTACGGTGACACGGAGCTAGATGTGTCATCCCTAGAAAAACATCTACAAACATCGCACAGTGCAGCACCAAACCTTGTCAAAATAGGGCTGGAAGAAGAATTTAAAGTAAGTACGAAGGGTCTAAGATTTTCAAATGTTGAAACACTTGGGACACAAAGATACTTCAGAAGCAGGAGAAGGGCAACTAAAAAAAGAAAGGGACTGTCAAGACTGAACCACCCACTTTATAGTGGATGTATTGGGAACGGATCCTGTGGGATCAGTGAAGGAGGCCTGGCCTTAACACCCTGTTCGAAAAAATGCACGTTCAAACCTTCATCATTTGATGGATATTTTCCTATATGCATTTGGTTTGCTTGTAGAAGAAAAATGGAATTATTCTTTCAGTCTTGTACTGGATGCCAGATCAGATACTGCTGGAAGACGGAGCTGGGTTACATTGACCGAATTGGCATGTCAACAGAAATGTTAACTCAGTCACCACCGTGACAGCAGAGTGAATTATGGAGAGTTTTCAAGTTTTGTACTGAGTATCCACAACTACCAGGAGGGAAAAATATATATTTAAAAAGTGGAGAAATAAGGCATTCTTGTTTTGTGGAGAAGCCCTGATTGGAAATACCAGTGACGCTGTCTTTCGTGATCCCTGTTTAAAATAGACTTCAACTGCACTGAGGAAATAGTTAGAACTTTTCTGTGACATTTACTGTGCTAAAAGACTTATTCTATATATGGGTTGAAGGCATTAAATGACTTAGTAATTTAATCAAATGAATTCAGTGTTAACTGAATTTCTCTTTTTCCTTTAATGGATTAATTTAATCAGAAATAGGGAAGTGGGAAAAGAAAACTAAGTAAAAAGTACAGCAAAAAGTTCAACATTCAAAAGATTTACACTCTTTGAGGGAAGGAAGCAAGTGAACACACTGAGTATTCCACTTTTTTTCAGAATTCCTAAGGAGTTGGGTTTTTTTTTGCTGTCCACTGTGCTAGCCTTTGTCACAAAGTACAGAGAGCAACATTTAGCTCGGCTGTGTATTCTGAAAAGCATTTAGATGGGCCAGGAGCACTGAGCCAATCTGCACAGAAGAAGAGCAGAACTCTGCTGTAACCACTACCAGACTCTCTGACATAAAGTCTGTTAAACATGGCATTACAGACTAACTGGAAAGTGATTTCTGAGATATGGGAGTTTCTTTTTATTGGTTTGCTGCTGGTACTAGAGCCTTTACTGGCATTAGGATGTGCTGCTGCTCAGTATCTGGCAAATACAGAGAAGTACCTGAAAAACTGCTTGCAGCTTGAAAATTAAAATAAATGTAAACTGAGTTTGTATTAAATAGCTGCTGAAATGCAGCTGTGTAACTACAGTCATTGATGGGCAGGTCCCAGCCCAGCAGAAGCAGCCTGTTAATGGTAGTGGGCACAATCTTATGTGTAATCTCTACTACAAAAAAAGTGTTGGGGAAATGTTGCTTGTTTTCTATGTCCTGGGAATACTGTCATCCTATACTGAATAAATAACAGAGGATACCACCATCCTTTGGTCCCTCTGCTAGCAAAAGCTGGAAATGTATAGAGCCTGGTTACAGTAGGTAGTGCACAGCCGGCCCCACGTTCGTGCAACCTCGTTATGCCCAGTGGTGCATCTCAGAATTTTAATAATCTGAAAAGGATCATTACACTGCTAATATCAAGGAAATGAGTATGAATGCTTATGAAATGAGTTTGTGCTTGGATGATAAGGGAAGTGAAGTTTATGAAAGAGAAGTATTTTAGCACTTGAGAAGAATGTGGAAATGAAACGGCCGCTATTTCAGTGCCGGGCTTGCAAAGCTCCTGGGCAGTGTCTGGAGCTGCAGGAGTGGAATAGTGTTCAGTGTGCTCCTCGACCTTCCTCTGCTTGCTTAAAGGCTGGGAAGGCAAAAATGAAATTAATTTGATAAAAAGGTAATGCAGACAGGTTTTCAAAAGTGGCTAAATTGTGAAACTCAATTTCTGAATCTGAAATTGAAGAAATTTTTCAAAGGGCGTGGGCACTCTGTGCTTCTGGAAGCCACGCTCAAGTAGTCCAGAAGTGTCATTAAAAAAAAAAAAAGATAACCTGCTGTCATTTTATTGCACTTAAACTTTACCGATACGCTTTGGAAGCATGTTCAGACTCACAAAAATATTTGTTAGTATGAAAAAAATTACATGACCATCATTCGTAATTATACTGTACAGATAATTACAGATAATCTGTGTGTTTTATTGCAGAAATTAACAAATGTCCGAATAATGAAGGAAAACATGAGAACTGGCAACCTTCCAGCAAATATGAAAAAAGCTAGAGTCATCCAGATTATCCCATGTAAGATGATCAACTTTATCTGTAGAAATAAGTGCTATAAGTACATGGCTGTCCTAAGGTTGTCGTAAGTTAATATTCTACCTGCGTGTTGGTACCAGCACATCTCATATCAGCATATGGCTGCGTTGGCTGGGTCCAGAAGAGAGGAAAGCCCAAACTTGGAAACTGTAATTCTGCAAATAATTACTGCATATGCCTTGAAGAAGGAAAAGTTGTAACTTTTACATACTGCCTGTAAAATTCAAATGCTTTGAAAACTGTTTTTGTTTCATTTTTAGGTAGACCACATTTTTGAGGGTTTAGTTAGCTTCCCTTTGGTTTTGTCGTCCTCTTTGCAGACATGGCTGCTCAACGCTTGGGCAACGACACAGGCAGAGTATCCTGTCCCTGTAAAGTGTGGTGTCCTTATGGAGTGTCTGCACACACGTTATTTATTTATTTGAACTTTTTCAATGTAAAGTATGTAATGACCAGATTTTTTTCAGGACTGAATGAAATAATTCAGCAGTTTCACCCACTTAACCAGCATACTTTCTGTATGTTTCCTTGCCCAGTCTGGAGCAGCACTGCAATGTCTGCTCATGAAAATAAGTTTCAGACCTTGCTTGTCATATCCTGTGTGAAAGTAAAAATAAACCACAGAAGAGCTAGTGCTCTCCTCCACACGCTCAGTAAATCATGGATAAGATCTGTAAGACACTCTTTCTGGCTTCCAGCTGAAAGTTTTGTTGCTCTTTCATAAATGTAAGAGTGAAGCAGTCAACATACAGTTAGCAAAAGAAAGAATAGACCTGTGTGTTTGTTTGTTTTTCCAGATGATTTTAATAGAGTGATTCTGTCAATGAAAAGAGGGCAGGAGTATACAGACTACATCAATGCTTCCTTCATAGATGTAAGTATAAATGTTTTTGATATATTTAGACTACAAGTCAAATATTTTTGCTGTTGCTTGTAAGTCTTTTTAAAGAGACGTGGCCAACTTGGCTTATGAAGAACAGTAGCTTTTTTATTTGGGTTTGGCTTATGAGAGTTTCCAAATACGTTTCTTATCTGGCGTTTTCAGTTTCAATTTAAATAGTTGTGTACTTTAAACATTGCTGATGTGAGATGTATAAACTAAGGTTTGTATTAAGTCCTGAAAAAACAGGGAGTGAAACAGGTTCTGTTATCTGCATGCAGGTTAACAGACATCCTGACTCTGGTTGTCTAACTTAGAGGAGGGGTGGGAGGGTGGAGTATGTATTTAGCATGGGGAAAGGCTTTCAGAGTGTTTGGGAGTCAGGATTTACCTGGGGAGACCTGCAATAATTGCCGGCTTTGTTCCTGGCTTCCTCACGGAACCTGGCCAACACCTTCCACTTTTTTTTATTTAAATATGAGAATTAATTATATCCAGAGAGGCTCAGAGAGAAGCTGGGTGCTGAGCTCTCTGCATACCAGCTTCGGTCATTCTCATCCTCACGTGTCATTACACTCACGTGTCTCTTTTCTCTGCAGGGCTATCGCCAGAAGGATTACTTCATTGCCACTCAAGGACCGCTGCCCCATACCGTGGAGGATTTCTGGCGGATGGTGTGGGAGTGGAAGTGCCACACCATCGTCATGCTCACAGAAGTTCAGGAGAGGGAGCAGGTATGCATCGCACAGCTGCTTTTAAAAGTGCTGTAAAGATGAGCCTTTGTGTTGGATAAACACTATTACATACTATTTATAATATTTACACTACTTATACCATTTGTATAAACCCTTATACAAATTTTAGCAAGATTTTTTGCCTTCTCTGAACGACCTCTTGCTTCACTGTTAGGTGTAGGCCAGTGTTGCTGCTTTTGCTTGAATTGTCAGGAAGAACACAGAAACTTATGGTTTTTAAAAGGGCCCAGTTCACATTAAAATCACAATTATTATTGGGATTCCTGGTGTGAATGCCTGTGGAAGAGTTGCTTGGGATTTTAGAACAGCTGACAATGTTTTCTTGAGGAACTCCCCCTTTTTTTCACCACTATAAGCTTCTGAACCTCTCCTTGTGCATCCTTCCTCATGAATTATCAGAGACCTGTATCCCTGCAGTGTTGCAAACTCGGTGTTCAACTCATGTTTTAGTGCTCTGCGATGTTTTCTGGTGTTTTTGGGAGGCTTTTTTACAACATTGCATTGCATTGCCTGTAGGAGTTACTTAATTTCCTTCTGATTTATTTATAAAGCAGTATTTATCAACTATGACTTCTGAGTCCTTTTCATCTTAATGCTTTACACTGTAGAAATATTTTATTCCAATACTCTTGGTTATTAGCCTTTTCACTGCAAACTGTCTACAACATGTTAAGCTGTATTTCACATTTTATATCAGAGATTCGTCATTATGCAGATAACTGGGATAAAAATAATATCACGGAATGTTTACAATTCTCTCTCAATTTTGCAGGAAAAATGCTTCCAGTATTGGCCATCAGAGGGCTCAGTAACTCACGGAGACATAAATGTAGAAATAAAGAATGACAATCTTTTAGATGCCATAAGTGTAAGAGACTTCATAGTTACGTATAATCAGGTATGGTTTTTAAATTGCATAAGTTTTTGTTTTTTTACATTTGAAGGTATTTACAAATATAATTACGTAACTTAAATCCTGGAATTTCTATCTAATGATAACTGCAGACATTTTAGCAGTCAAGAGGAAACTTATAGGAAATATTTCGCTTAAAACCCCATGAAAATCCTGGTCAGTAAAACACGCCCTTGATTAAAGAGTTTTTTTTTGGTAATGCTTTGCTGTTGCTGCTGGTCTTGCGTTTTCTACCATTTACCATATATCTAGTACAGAGAATTTGATTCAGGATTTTAAATTCCTGGGAAGCATTTACAGCACAAATACAAATTCTCTGCCTACCAGCTGTTCCGTAATGCTGCTGTACTGCAGGCATGCTCTACAGATGACTATTTTTTGAACTTTTGGACATGCATTTCTTCACTTTCTGAACTACTTCTTTAGGAACCGATTTGCATTGCTGTGTTTGAAAAAATAAAACAACCACACACTACTTGCCATTTACCATACCGTTAATTTAACTATCTATTGTGTTACATGTAATTTATACACTTAAATAGTTGGCACGTGCAAAGCAAAAGGGCTTTAAAGGGCTCTGCATTTCCTTCTGAAGGAAGGTGGTGGATAAGGCACAAATACACACTGTGCTCACAACACAGAGTCCTCGTCCTTGTGTTGACTTCTGTCCTGTTGGAAAGTGTTTAAAACCTGAGTAAAACAATTTTAGATAATTTTGGTTTTTCTGATTTTTTCGTTTTCGTAATAATGGTTTTCTTCCTTATGTATCAACTCACTATTTTAGCACCACTAGTGAAGTCCATTCCCAACAATCCTGTTTAATTAGCTCTGAAATAACGATGCAATGTTCAGATTGCCTGCCAGAATTAGTATGGCATTAATACCTATATGAACTTTTAGTCAGCAAGCATAAAGACAAGACAAATAATTTTTAAATTTGAAGGTCACAGGTAGCATTGTGCAAAGATGAGTGGATTTCATTAGCTGATTTTTTTTAGCACAGTGCATGGGGATTGTAGGAACATCAGGTATGCATGAGCGGTGTATTATGGACCAGGTTGAAATTAGCCCGCTTTACTGTAATGGTGAAAAAATTATGCTACAGCTGTTGAATGTAAGAAGTGTGTTTCCATCTGGAATTAACAGCTGGATGAATCTGGTTTTTGCATGCACGTAGGGTAACCACGAGAAGCAAAGCAGGCTGGTTCGGCAGTTCCACTTCCATGGCTGGCCAGAAATTGGAATTCCTGCTGAAGGAAAAGGGATGATTGACCTGATCGCAGCTGTCCAAAAGCAGCAGCAGCAGACAGGGAATCACCCGATCACAGTGCACTGCAGGTAAGGCTCCCCTCTCCTTCCCACAGTTAGCTGATAACCTTTTCTCCAGTCTGGCTGTGGTTACAGCAGTTCTTTGTAAGTAGACTGCATCCTTTAAAAATAAAAATTAAGAAATATGAGCAAAAGGTAGAGAAATGGAAAAATTGAGATTACATAAATGTGAAACAATAGTAGTTTTTTTGTTGTTGTTGTTTGTTTTGTTTTGTTTTGTAGTGATTTGTAAAACACCCCAGCAATACGGGGCTCAAATGTTCTATCAGGATCAAAGTAATCAAATTATTGGCATGATGGAATATATCCTTAACCTAATCTGAACACAGACTGTACCTCTGTTTTTGAAAGCATGAAAGACAGAAAAACCAGTGTACTGTCATTTTTTCTTTTTCCATAGTTCTTTTAATAAGCTGTATTTTTTGGACTTTCCCTTTGTGTTTTCAAATGCTATTTTTAGAGTATTTTTTTCTTTTTACCAGTCTTCTAAATTGTTCTTTTCCATTTCTGCACTACATCTGCTGACTTTAAAAGTAGTAGTAAAACAATCATTCTGCTTCCGCCTAATTCAGAAATAACACTTTCCTTTTAAAATACTGGATTTTTTATAAGTGAATAAAGCCTTTTCTTTTCTTCTGGTCAATACAAAGTCAAGCTGACAGTCCACAGAGGCAGAGGCAGCAGAAGAGAGGTGCCTGGTTTGTTTTGTCTTCTAAATAAGAAGTTATTAACCTCAAGAGGTCACCCTTTGACATGAACTTTTTTGCTGCTGTGGGCTCCATGGACCTGTTTGCCGTGGGAGAGGTGCTGGCAAATTCAGTGCTGCTCTTACCCAGACCGGGTTTCGCAGGGGCCTCGTCTCTGCTGCATTTGTCTAAGATCTTGTGCAGTAGAGTGTCTCTTGTGATTGGAGCTCGACCGTGACATATTTTATTTCTCATTGCCCTCAGAATTGGTAATACAGGTTAGATAGTGGCCGATTAGATCTTTCTTCCTGAGCACGTTGTATGAGTTCAGCTGCTGTTGCTGGACTGTGGTCTCCCTCAAGCCATGCACAGAGGCTGAGATCCTGGTATTTTTATATCTAACAACATTTATTATTATTAACTGTGGTATTTTCTTCCCCTTTCTGTGATCCCACTGTTGAGCAATGCTTGGCACCTGTACTACGACAGGGATCCTCCCTGCAGGAGCTGTGCTCTCCCGCATTGTGTCAGCCAGCGGTGATGTCTGGCGCTGCTTCTGGGGCTTTCCTGCATTGCAGAGGACACCCAACAGGTTGTTTTTCATGCTGCAGAAATTGCAGCAGTGATTTATGTGACACTCAGATTGTCTCGTAGCATTATCTGCAGGGAAGTGTGCTCACTGACCGTTCGGAAGTGTTTTGCTAGAAGAGCACATGGTTGCCGTTAGAGTCAGAAATAGGAAAGGCTTTGTTAGAGCTGCTCTCTGCAGAGTGCACTGACTTTTTATTTTGCTCTGATTTGAGTTTTAATGGGTCTCACTCTCTGAGAAGTGTGGTTTGTATTTTGGCTATTGAAGTGTCACAAGTATTTTCATCAGCTGCTGAAGCAAAATGATCCGGGGAGCTCCTGGATTTGTTGGCGTTTTGGGATAGGAGCATACAGTAATGTGTATTAATTGCTAAAACTTCTTCCTCCGTGCTTCTGAAGTGTTTTCTCTTTGCAGTTTTCATTTATGTTCCCTAGGGGACCGTGGGTTTTCCCACCCGATGGTGGCTGAACTCAATGTTGGTGATGATATTTTGTGTTTGGTGCTTCAGTTTGACCAGTTCTGACAGCTGCTTCTTTATAAATGCTAGGGAGGTAAAATTCTACATGATAATTAAAGTGGGTAAAGTATCAACTAGTTCTAACCAATAAAATCAGAGGTTAAAGCAACTGATGTCTTTGATATACATAAATCAGATAGATAAGAACTATCTGAGGCATATATTGCTTCTACTTTTTTACATTTTTTGAGCTGCAGCCTCTGTGAAGCACCAGCTTAATTATTTGATGCGAGTTTTTCCTAGATTTTGTTCAAATCACTGCAATGAATATAAAAATTCACTAAACAAGAAAATAAAAGCAACCACGCAGTGTATCCTAGGATTTTTAATATTGCACATTTTGTCCTGCCCCTATTTTGACAGCCTGTATGTACAGTGCACTTTAACTGCTCCATGCAGTCATACCTGAGTCTTCAAATGTAGATTAATGTAAATTTATGAATAAGTAAACACCTTTCAAGAAAAGACTGATTTCTCAGAGCATTCGCATGAACTTGTGAAACCTTCTGTTAATTTTTTCTAACTATGAATGGTTTCAGGAGCAGCTAGAAGTGATAATTTGTATGTGGAATGAAGACCTAGCACTAAATAGTTTCAGAAGGGCTTTGCTAACTTAGTTGCCAACAGAATTCAAAGCCAATCTGCTAAATCCCAGTGTTTGTCTCCTGCTGCCTTCTGCTTAGTTCATAGCTACCTGTGCTTTTTCTCTCTTTGCTGTCTCCTCCTCTCTGCACCATAATAAACCAGGCAGGACTGCTTAAAGATCCCTTGCTTCACTCTTTTGCCCAGGTCTTTGCCCTTTTGGAGCATTCTTTGCTTTTGAACTTTGTCTCAAGAAATGAAGTCTGAGAGTCAAATTGAAAAGTTATCTTCCCTTTAGAAAAGTGTTAAAGGAAGTACAGAGAGGGAAGCGAGTATGAAAGGAGTAGTGCTGTGTTCCCGTGAGACAACACATGTGTTTTTCCTGCATTTCAAATGCAGTTTAGTTCTCCATACCAAAATTTTTCAGCCAATTAACAAAACAAAACAAAAACAAACAAACAAAAAAAAAAAAAAAAGCAAAGAAAAAACAAACCAAAACAGCTAAACAAACAAAACAGACCAAAAACCTTACATGGACTTTAAGGATTTATTAAAAAGATGTTTTGGGAAGAAAGGAGAGAGCATCTAACACAGACAGTATAAGCAATGGAGTGGAAAACAATGTGTGAATAAGTGAATAAGCAACATTTGATGATGTCTGTGTGCAGCTTTACTTTATATCTTTATTTCCTCACCTTTTTGTGTATGTAGACCTATTCCAAAGTGCATCACTCATGGGTTACTCTAGAAAGCACACGAGGTTACCACAGATTAGCTAACGACAAATAATCACAGAATCACAGAATCTCTAGGTTGGAAGAGACCTCAAGATCATCGAGTCCAACCTCTGACCTAACACTAACAGTCCCCACTAAACCATATCCCTAAGCTCTACATCTAAACGTCTTTTGAAGACTTCCAGGGATGGTGACTCAACCACCTCCCTGGGCAGCCTGTTCCAATGTCTAACAACCCTTTCAGTAAAGAAATTCTTCCTAACATCTAACCTAAAACTCCCCTGGCGCAACTTTAGCCCATTCCCCCTCGTCCTGTCACCAGGCACATGGGAGAACAGGCCAACCCCCATCTCGCTAGAGCCTCCTTTAATATACTTATACAGAGTGATAAGGTCACCCCTGAGCCTCCTTTTCTCTAGGCTGAACAAGCCCAGCTCCTTCAGCCGCTCCTCATAGGACTTGCTCTCCAGGCCCCTCACCAGCTTCGTCGCCCTTCTCTGGACCCGCTCAAGCACCTCGATGTCCTTCTTGTAGCGAGGGGCCCAGAACTGAACACAGTACTCGAGGTGCGGCCTCACCAGAGCCGAGTACAGGGGGACGATCACCTCCCTAGCCCTGCTGGTCACAGTGTTTCTGATACAAGCCAGGATGCCGTTGGCCTTCTTGGCCACCTGAGCACACTGCTGGCTCATATTCAGCCGACTGTCCACCATCACTCCCAGGTCCTTCTCTGCCTGGCAGCTCTCCAGCCATTCCTCTCCCAGCCTGTAGCTCTTCTTGGGGTTATTGCGCCCCAGGTGCAGGACCTGGCACTTGGCCTTGTTAAACTTCATACAGTTAAATAATAATATTTAATAATAAATAATAATATTTAATAATAAATAATATTTAATATTTAATAATAATAAATAAGCCTGAACCCTTTTGGATTTTGCATTTTTCTTTAATCTGATAAAAGTAATTGTCTGAAGGGAATAGTGCATCTAATATGTTGTACCTGTTCATCTTCCCTCCAGTCGGACTTTTAATGTATCCAGCTGAGGATACATGCATTTGCACTTAATCTTTTCATAAGACTATGCTTATCAGATTTTTTTTTTCCATTTGATGGAATTAAGGTGGAAGCAATGATGTGTGATTACACTTCACCTGCTATAAATGATTAAAAAACATGAAAATTTTAAATTTAATAAATTATTTTGTGCTTATCCTTGTTCAGTCCAGTGAACCTTCTGCTTCATCTTGCCACTGACTGCCGAATTCCAAATTCCATCCTGCTTTTAGTTATTTCCTATCAAAGCTGCTGGCCTTCCAGGGCACAGCCCCTGTTTTTTGGTGACAGATAGCCCGTAATTTGTGTGATTAAGAAAGCCAATTCTTTTTGGCTCTGATATTTGGCTCTGATTGTGTTCTGCCACATCCAGAGCAAACCTGAAAGCAGAGCATGAGAGCATGGGAAGCTTTCTTTGCTGAAAACTAATGGATACATGAAGAAGCAGCTTTGCTAGCTCGTAATTCAAGTGCCAGGCTGGTGCTGACAGCATCCATGTGCTGCTGCTGCTGCTCACAATCTCCTGTTTGAGGGCAGAAGCTGTCAGCAACGGGGCTGGAGCAGCTCCTGCCTGGCTCAGGATTAATTTCGATTACTGCTGGCTCCCTTCTAGCGTGGCTGAAGTGGCAGAATAGGCTAATATTCGAGCTTGGGTATTCTCTATCAATATTATTTTTAGCATTTTTACCCTGCTGCATGCCAACCAGGTGTGTTTCCATTGCAGCGCTGGTGCTGGCAGAACAGGTACGTTCATAGCACTCAGCAACATCCTGGAACGAGTGAAGGCTGAAGGGCTCCTCGACGTATTTCAAGCTGTGAAGAGCTTAAGACTGCAGAGGCCACATATGGTGCAAACACTGGTATGATATTTAACAACCCGGATCTTTGTCAAAGGATGTGTGTTTGTAAATATTCTTGTGGGAAGAGAACAAAGGATTTTTTTTGCAGGTGGAAATAAATTATGTATGATGGCTGTGTATGTACAAGGTATTATCAGAAATCTGTATTTTTACAGATTTTTTTTTATGGCATTTCTAAAAATAAAACTTGGCTAAACACTCAGTGTTTTTTTAGGAACTGGTGACAGTTAAATAAACCAAAATCTTTTGAGAGTTACAGATGACAAAACTTATGAAGTAAATGCCTTTTAAGCCATATATATCAGGTTTTCTTTCTTTACCTGACAGTGTCGAGGCTTAAACAGGCTTGCAGTTCATCTCTGAAAGGGAGACGCTGACTTGTTTAAAGTCAGCTACAAAGAATATGCGAAGCTTGGTCCTGACACTTACCCTTACAGAATAAACATTAGAAAGTTTTATGGAGGCGTGTTTTTGGAATACACATAATGCCGATATTTGGTATTTTGATAGCAGCTCCCATTCGGCAGTGAGAAACTTCTTTAGGAAGTTATCTCAAAGCTCCTTTCCCAGGTAGATGTTTTCTCCGTAGTGCAGAAAGGGGAAAGAGGCTGAAGAAGTGGAATTGGATTATCTGCAGTCACGCTGAGACAGGGATGAAATCTTTCTTTTGGGGTTCTGGCTCTGTGATTTAATAATGTCAGTTAAGGGTGTAATTGCTGTTATTGGATTGATATTCCCAGCTGAGCCTGTGGAAAGGCTTCTGCTAAACTCTGCTTTCCAGCATGAGTGAATTCAGATGCCAGTTCCGTTCATTATCAGGCATTAGAGATCTGATAATGCAGCAAATCATGTCGAAGGCTATCAGCATGCCTACGAGCTTGGGCTGTGCCCCATCCTTGGGATGCAGAGGACTAGCCAGCAGGCTAACGTAGCCAGAGGATGAGTACACACAGAGAGCATTTACAAGTGAAACTCCACTTCAGAAAAAAAAATGAACTTAGAGTTTTTTTTTCAAGTTCTGTGCATTTGAAGTTGCATTGTCACACCGTTTCAGCCGTGAAGCTCAAAGCCTGAAGTTAAGCAGCCGGGCTCCCCGGGGAAGGCGCAGGAAGAGTTACCTGCTTTAGCATGAGATGGGGAACAGCCAGGTGCAGTCAGCAGCTTCATTTAAATGAGGAGACAGGTTTAAGAATTGATGTTCATTTGAAGAACTATCCCCTAGAAAGCTTGAAGAAATCATTTTAACTGACAGGCAAGAATCAGCCTGTATTTGACAAAAGAGAGGTACCGATGCTTTTATTACAGAAAAAAAAGAACCAAGGTAGACTCGTGCTCAGCTCCTCCTGCACATGAAGGGAAAACGGGCGTTTTGAAGAGAATACCCTGCTGACGGGTGGGTGGCTCTTTGAGGGCAGGGTGTTACCATCCGCCTATTATTAAAAGTTGGTTGTGTGTGAGAGGAGAGAGAAGCCTTTCATGTCAGAACCCACGGCGAAACCGTGGCTCGGCTCGTGTTGAGGACCATGTCGAGGTCCTCAGCTCACCGGCCTTTGGTTTCAAAGCTCCTCGCGGTGCCAGGGTTGGGAACCAGCCAGCAGCGAGGCACAGAGGAGCACAGAACTTGTGGGCAGCCACCAGAAACTTTGAATCGGTGGGCAATTAGGTGGAACTGGTAGCTGCTGTGAACTCACAGTGCTCCAAACCAGAGCACCTCGCCTTTACCACGAGGATTTGCATAAGAATGATTTTTTTTCCTGACGTAATCGTATGGTTTTTGATATTTTCTTCCTGTTTTTCAGGAACAGTATGAATTCTGCTACAGAGTGGTACAAGATTTCATCGACATATTTTCTGACTATGCTAATTTCAAATGAAAATTCCTGCCTTATTTTTTAATTTGTCTGTATAAATAGTTGTATATTATATTAATTTATTCCGTGTCATTTTGATTGACTTTTATTGTAAATATGCCTTTGTGTTTGCCCTAAAAGTTGCATTTGCTGTACAAAATTATTTCTGAAATATAAATATCTTCTAAAGCAAAGTATAATGTTCATATACAGTATATTACTATAAGATGGTAGAGAAATCTTTATTCTAAATAACAGTAAATTAATTATTGAAGTTTTCTTTTTTCTTTTTTTTTTTTCCCACTTACAATTATTTATCAATAATGCTGTCTCCCAGTTCTTGAAACTTGATGCAGGTGATTTACATTTCATACTAAAAAAGTGAACTGTGGTATATATGGTTAAACTAAACATGTTTTGGCCATAAACCTTTCTTCACTGACGTCAACAGCAAATGAAAACAGATGTTTATCTGGGGACACACACTGCTAACCTACTCATGCTTACATGTAATTTATTTCCTGGTCTCACTGAAGGGCAAAGAGACTTCGAGGTATCAGAAAATGGCCATTTTTGTGTAATAATGTACAGTATAGCTGAAAAATATAATTGCTTTTAAAGTCTGTTTTTAAGAACCTCCCAGTGGATGGCAGTTCTATTTTGAGTCTTAATAAGATATAATCATTATAAATACAGATTTAGATTTTTGATTTAATATAACTTTAAAAGTCCATTTATTTTGTTCTTTCCTAAATATTACACCAGCTTAAATCAATCTAGAAATACAATAATGTGAGTTTGCCACTATTTGAGAATATTTTGCATATCTGAAGAGTCTATTTTGCAGCTCCTGAACTTGTCTTCTTCAAAAGGCTCTACTCTCCTTCTTTTATTACACTCAACAAAATAATTAATAGTATTTGCTAAAATTTTGAAAAAAAAAAATAGAGTAAATTTTTAGCACTAGCAACATTGAGCACTGTAGCTGAAAGTTCCTTTATGTTCTTACTTTCCCATGTATGTTATCAAGAAAAAAGATCTAAAGATCTTTATCTAAAAGGGTTATATGATTGTGTATATAGATATATTTTTAATGAAAGTACTACTGATAATATAATTGGTGAAATAAATTTTAAAAGTCTTATTATAGCCCAGAACAGGATGTGCTTGGGGGTTAGAAAATCCAAAAAAAAAAAAATCACAGGGCATCTGAATGTTGAATAATTCAAAAGTATTTCTTTTACATTCTTTAAAATGCATATATGAATTAATGAGCACAAAGTATGTACTTCAGTTACTTAACTAATATGCAATAGTCCTGTCTTGTCCGGTTGGTTAGGTTTTTTCAATGCAAACATAAAAGCCTTATTTAAAATTAAACAACTTAAACTGATCATTTCACTGTTCTTGCACTGTTTTGCCCCATGACCATTTTTCGTATCTGGTAACAAGTAGAACAGTCGTACAATGCAAGGAACAAGGGAGGTGCTCATCCCTCTCCTTTCATTTCGTACTGAATGGAAAAGGTGCAGTTCAGCCATTTCTAAGCACACCGTTCTGAACACTGCCATTTACCGCTTCTTGTCTTCCCATTGATGCACTTCTGTATTTATTTGTACAGTAAATTATGCACTTAAAAACAATTGTTTAAAGACTAAACATTTATTGTGACTTGTTAGAAGATACACTCAAAACACAGAAAGCGTTGAGGAGTAAAAAAACGCAAAGTTTACATTACTACTGCATGCTAGAATTCTATCAAATTTCAAAAAGGCATCAAATAAATTCAGTAGGAAAATCAATGCAGCGAGGTTTTCAGTATGATCATCTGCAGCACAGACAGAATCAGAGAGGTTAAATGATGATAGAAAAGAATGCAAAGAAATTTTCATTATTTTCCAAAGAAGCTTTTCTTACAGTCCCGTTAGATCCTAGGATCTTTCCAAACGTTTACTTTGCAATAGAAAAATAATTTGTCTGTCAGACAGCCCATCTCCTAGGGATCTCACATAAAAGCCTACACTGAGAGTTGCCTCGTGAAGCAATCCTCCTCAGCTGGACTGCAACGCAGCATGATGTTACGGGGACCCGATGGGCAGCAGCTAAGAGCGGGCTGGAGCTAAGCTGAAACATCAAATGTTAAGTGGGTGCTCTGGTTTTAGTTGCTACCTATTTTATCAATTAGGGAACAGAAAAAAATGTAACACATTTCAGAAGTCACAAACACAATGACCTTTTTTCTTTTTCTTTTTTTTTTTTTTTATTAATCTGAGACGCTTGCTTTCCAGTTGTGTTTGGGGAATAAGCTGCTTACTGCAGCAGCCTCATAACTGGGGAGCTGTATCTTGACATAGATATATCTGATTTTTTCTTTTAAATTTTTCCTACGTTGCATGAAATTACTTTAAAATGCCAAATAGTTGATTGGAAGTTGTACATTCTGATCGGTATGTGGCTTTGGTCACTATGTGACTTGACTGTTTTCACGTGTTAAGATGGGTTCCAGTTCACCGAAGCATTTAAGCATTTGCTTTACGACATCGCTACTCCACAAAGCATACAGCACCCTACGTTCTTTGTTCCCGAAGCAATCCCTTAAGTGCTTTGCTGAATTGGGCCTTAATGAAGAATGCATACTGTAATTACCAGTGTTTTTTAGGGTATTTTTACGTATCAGTTTTTTAAACTTTTGAAATGAGCCTGACCGCCTGTGTTCAATATTTTGAAATGTTTTCATTTCCCTAGTACCATTTTTAATGTAAAGTTATTGAAACTTTTCTGTATGACCAAACTGTATTTAATTTGTCAAATCTTTATAATATATGTATGTATTATACAGTTTCAGCTACTATTATTTTCTTTTATTACATTTATAATTTGATCTTGCTGTGTTTTTAATGCCGGTGAATGTTGCTGAATTCTTTGTATATGCAAATTGCAAGATCTAATACATTCTGATGCAAGAACAAAGCTCTGTTGTTATTCTTAAACCGTATTACTTTCTTTAAACCTTTTAATTTCATTCCCGCCCTGTGTGCTCGTTTCAGTTAACCATTCCAAAGGATTGAAAAGCCATTACCTAGATAGGTAATTTTTTGGTGCTTATCACCTGTAGTTCTTTGGAAGTAGTGCTGATTCACGTATAAAACATGGATAAATTCAGGGTAGCAGTTAGCAGGCCAAGTCTCCCCAAAGAGTATGAATAATTAAGGCCTGGTGATCGATACAGAGCTCCAACATGGTGAGGCCCTGTGCAGCACAGACACGACTAGGCCCCGTGCAGCCTTCCCTTATGTAGCACTTCAATGATTTGGAGCCTGGCCCTGCAGTATGGTGACAAGGACAACCCCCAAATACTCTTGTACAGCTCCAATGGCTCCTGTCAGCTGTCACCTGTCATCAATCAAGTGTAGGATAGGCCAAGAGGGCCTCAAGTTGTGCCAGGGGAGGTTCAGGTGGGAAACGAGGAGCCATTTCTCCTCAGGACGAGCAGCCAGGCGTTGGGACGGGTTGCCCAGGGAGGTGGTGGCGGCACCGTCCCTGGGGGTGCTCCAGGAGGGGTTGGACGTGGTGCTTGGGGACACGGCTCAGTGGGGACACTGGTGCTAGGGGGCGGTTGGACCAGAGGATCTTGGAGGGCTTTTCCAGCCTTTCCAATTCTGTAAGAGTTTTGACAGCGTAGATTATTTTTCAATTACTTTTTCCGTGCGTGTTTGGAAGAACTTCTAGCTTGCGTGTCCTCCTTGTGCACTGTATGCTGACCTATTACAGAACTTTCTTTGTTTTCTGATGCTTGTCAAACCCCCTGCTCCAACATTTAGCATTCGCACGTGGTAATCTTGCTGCTTTCAGCGCTACAGTTACAGGAGTAACTGTATTGTCTGTCATTCTGTGACTTGTTACATGTCAAAGCTTTTTTTTTTTATTTATTTTTTGTAATTCCAGATGACCTGACAAAATATTTTGTGCGATTGGATCAGAGTTTTAGCATGTATCGAGATGCACAGCCTGTGAGGCCACTGGAAGTCAGCTGTGCAAGAACAAGATACTGATAGCTTTGCTTTCAGAAAAAAAGAAGAATCTCAATCATTAATCAGTAATTATTGACTACTTACTGCTTAATTTAAATAATTGTTATCATAATTATTGCTCATTTGCACAATTCCTAGTATGATACGGTTCTGTCTAGCAGTACAGGAGTATCACCATTATTAAAATATTCAAGCTAAATAGTAGGGGTTACATGCTATGAGACATGAAGAATGACTTTTCTCCTGTGTCATCGTAGTGTGCTTCCGTTGGTCTCTTTCTGTATTTAAGATCAATGATAAAAGGCACCTTTCCTAACAAACCTCAAATTGTAGAAAGAACTTGGGATAACGTGATCCTCCATTCCTTGAAGTACCTAACAAACTGCTGTTCAGATACTGTATTAATAATAAAGTTTTCAAATTTGCCTCTAACATCCAGTAAAAAGAGATTTTAGGGAGGAGGTGGCGGTATAATTATGATCCAACAAGTGGAAATGTTTCTCTCACAACAGATACCCTCTGCTCTCTACTATGTCCCATTTTAGCGACAAATCTGGAAAAAACAAAAATATCACGACTACTAAAATACAGAAATAATAAAACTACACAAAGTAGTTGTTCTTATTATACAAAGTAGTTGCATTATTTCTGTATTTTAATTAATAATTGTAGCCTGTAATTTTTATATACATAGATTATATGTAAAACCTACTTTTGTCATTCCATTTCTCCAGCAATTAATTTTTGACTCATCTGATGAGAATCTGCACTATTCCTTTTTTTTTTTTTTTTTTTTTTTTTTTTTTTTTTTTTCTGTCCTTGAACTTGCATTTCTTTCTGCAGATTTTGCATTTTACAGCTTGGAGATAGTTATGTTTATAGAAAACGGACTTTAGAAATAACAAACTTCCATTTTAGACTACTCGCACAATACATTTATTTCAATAGGCTATTTAAGCAATATAGACTAACCGAGCTCGAAGCCTTATTTGTTCTGTATAGGGCATAAATGTCAAGTCAAAGCCAAGATTTCCTTCATACAGAAATTGCTCAGTGCCTCTGAGAATTTTTCAAGCAATTGGACTTTACTGTGAATGTTCTTCATTTTATGTATTAGGATTATTTTGTGATTTCGATATTTTAATAAGAACTTTCTTCAAATGATTTTTATACGTTTTCTATGCTACTTCTCACACAGTTAGAATTAGCAAATTATTAATCCGGCTAAGACTTTGTCCTGGAAGTTCTTTGCACAAATAATCCTTCCTTCCCCTCTGCCCGTTGTTCCTGTGTTTTCATGCACGGCGCTCAACCCATTTATAACCCTTGAACAGATCTAAATTGCTACTGCATGCCAGTTGGGTGAACACCAAGAACAGCAAAACTGAACCACTTTCGAGGAGCTCGAGAAGGAATCAGCACGTTGGCAGTGGCATCAGATTATGAAGCTCAAGGTGTGTGCTCAGTGGCAGTGCTCTGATACCAGCCTGTAGGCTGAGCCTGTCCTGCTCGTGGTCTCTGCTCCTGGCTTCTCGGAAACACCACGAGTGCCTCAGGCCCTATGAAATAGATTCGTATTTTGCTTTTAAGTTATTTTGACAGAGCTCAGTGGCGTCCTGCCCCGTTCACAATAAATGAGTGTACACACACGTTTACTTACACAAACAGCAGACACGTTTGATAGGAACCATTTTGGAAAACTGATCCTGTTTGTTCATAAACTTACACAGATTCCTCTCACGTGAGAATAAGTTGTCAAAATTTGGTTCTCTGTATGAATACATGCATCTGAAAATCTTAGGTGGGATAATGTCAGAGCAATAAACCATTTTAAGAACAGAAGTCTATTGCAAAATAGATAAATAGATACTTTTTCAGAGATTCATCATAAAATAACTTGTTTAATCACTGGGCTTTGCTTTACACAGCATCAATAGCCTGAAGTGTAGAATCTAGAACAAATGGTCTTGTATGAGGACCTTCAGATGAGGAATTAAGATGTTAATTTTTCTAATTCTTTTCAATTCTTTTTAATTTAAGTTAAAAAATGTCTAAGCTGGCAAGCGCATTCAAGGACTGATTCAAACTACTATATAAAACTACTTTTCAACACATTTTGAGAGTCAATTGTCTTACTTCAATTTGTATGTGGTGGTTTGTAATCCTAGTAAATTAAATGTTGACAGATAAATATTACCCAACAGAAAATTTGAAGTAAATGTCATTTTTTCCCTCCTGTAGATATACTGTTGCAAATATCTGTGTATCCATTATTTAAGAGACCACTGCTGCTCTTGAAGATGGATTTGAGGCAAAGCACTCTCAAAATCTTTTTTTTTTTTTTTTATAATTTGTGTTTTCTTGTAGGTATTGTTCTGTTGCAGAGACGTTTATCACAAAGGTTGTGAAAAGATACTGCGTGGTAAGTGCACTAATAAAGCACTGAATGATCATACCAGAATATACAATTATTGGCATATTGCAGAGCAATATTTTTTTTTATTTATTTTTTCCTGTAAAAACAGCAGAGCCCTTGTCAACATAAAAATGCCTATACAGTGATAGCGGAAAAATTGCTATTTTGCTGCCGTCTCAATTCAATGTGGGCTAATAGACACTGTAATGAATTAGGCTTTTAAATAATTTTGGTGGTGTAAACTGGTGGTTTTTTTTAGTAACTTCTGTTACAACCACGCTTGTGAAGACCCCCAAAAGGATCTGACTTTGCTATCTATTGATTAGCAATGATACCCAGTGTTAAGAGTTCTGATTTTGCTTGAAAGTTTTATGGTTTACACCTAAATAAAAGATTATCCAGTAGCATAAAGCTGTCACGACAAGCTGAAGGTGAGATGATAAATTTGTGTTAATATGTTAAACTAAATTAACCCCCTACCGAAACTTATGAGATAGACTTCAGAGTAGTTTAATTCAAAAGAAAAAAAAAATCTAAGTTGCTTACATCTAACTTTATCATATCCAAAGTCCCCTAAAGTCATTATACCACATAAAAATAGTATTTGAGGCAAACTAGATAATTAATTATAAAAGTAGTAACATCAAAAGGAGTTCTGCTTTGTGAAAGATCTGAATATTAGGATCTTTATCGCCTGAAGCACAAAAGACTGGCTGACCTTGTAAAAGGCCTTTCTCCCTTTGTATTCCCCCCACCCCACCCACCCACTCACACACAAACACACACACACAGAACTTTGTTAATTTGCAGTTAAGGTTACCGGATTATTTTTTTATTTAAAAAAAAAAAAAAGGAAAAAAAAACACCTCAGGCATCACTCAACGTGTCTAATTTCTCTTGGATTTTCACCATCCACCTTGGGTGGAAAACCATACGAGTATGATGTTGGTGGACAGCATGAATTGAGGGAGAATTGACCCACAAGGATCATTGAGTCCAACTTGAGTCCAACTCCTGGCTCCACACAGGTCTACCCAAAAATTCAGACCATATGACTGAGAGCAGTCCAAGCACTTCTTAAAATTCAACAGCCTTGGTGCCATGACTGCTCCCTGGGGAGCCTGTTCCAGTGTGTGACCACTCTCTCAGTGAAGAACCTCTTCCTGGTGTCCAGCCTGAACCTCCGTGTCACAGACTGACCCCATTCCCTTGGGTCCTGTCACTGGTCACTACAGAGAAGAGATCTGCCCCTCTGCTCCCCGTCGTGAGGAAGTTGTAGACTGTGATGAGGTCTCCCTTCAGCCTCCTCTTCTCCAGGCTAAACAGGCCCAGTGTCCTCAGCCACTCCTCATACATCTTCCCCTCTGGGCCCTTCACCATCCTGTAGATGGTGACATTCTCTGGACACTCTCCAACACTTTCACATCGTTTTTGTGCTGTGGTGCCCAGAACTGCACACAGTGCTCGAGGTGAGACCGCACCAGGGCAGAGCAGAGCAAGGCAATCATTTCCCTCGACCAACT